GTCTTCAAGGCGCGGTACGTCGCTCGTGGCTTCAGTCAGCGGCAGGGAGTTGACTACTTTCAGACCTTCTCTCCCACCCCGAAGATGACTACTCTTCGGGTGCTGCTGCACATAGCCGCTCAGCGCGACTACGAGCTTCACTCTCTCGACTTCAGCACTGCGTTCTTGCAGGGTAGCCTGCACGAGGAGATCTGGCTGCGCCGTCCACCTGGCTTCACTGGGAATTTCCCTCCTAGCACCCAGTGGAGCCTCCGACGGCCAGTCTACGGTCTCTGCCAGGCACCGCGTGAGTGGCACGACACACTGAGGACTACGCTTGCGGCTCTTGGGTTTGCTCCTTCTACTGCTGACCCGTCGCTGTTTCTGCGCACCGACACTTCTTTGCCACCGTTCTACATCCTCGTGTACGTCGACGACTTGGTCTTTGCCACAGCGGACACTGCTGGACTCGCCTATGTGAAGTCCGAGCTGCTGAAGAGACACACGTGCACAGACCTGGGTGAACTGCGCAGCTATCTTGGCTTGCAGATCACTCGGGACAGAGCACGCCGCACCATTACCTTGACTCAGTCACACATGGTGCAGCAGGTCCTTCAGCGCTTCGGCTTCACGTACTCCTCGCCTCAGGCCACTCCTCTGTCTACTCGCCACTCGCTCTCAGCTCTGCCTTCGGATGAGTCCGTAGAGTCGAGTGGCCCGTACCCAGAGCTTGTTGGCTGCCTCATGTACCTGATGACGTGCACATGACCTGACCTTGCATACCCTCTTAGCATTCTTGCACGCTATGTTGCTCCTGGGAGACACCGACCAGAGCACATGGCTGCAGCGAAGAGGGTGTTGCGCTACCTGTGCAGTACGTCGGGCATGGGGCTAGTGCTTGGAGGGCGGAGTCCAGTGGTCCTTACAGGACACGACGACGCTTCTTGGGCTGACGACCAGGCTACTCAGCGGTCGTCACAGGGTTACACCTTCAGCCTTGGTTCCGGCTCTGTCTCGTGGCGGGCTACTCGCTCGTCTTCGGTTCTCAGCTCCAGTTGTGAGGCTGAGATCTACGCAGGGGCCATGGCTGCACAGGAGCTTCGCTGGCTCACCTACCTGCTGACTGACCTTGGAGAGGCGCCTCGTTCTCCTCCAGTGCTGTACGTAGACAACAAGGCAATGCTGGCCTTGTGTCGAGAGCAGCGTCTGGAGCACAGAACGAAGCACATTGCTCTTCGCTACTTCCTTGCTCGTGAGCTACAGCAGCGTGGACAGTTGCGGCTTGCGTACGTGGCCTCTGAGGCCAACACTGCTGATGTGTTCACCAAGGCACTCGCGCCTTGTGACCATCAGCGCTTCTGCACTCAGCTGGGACTTGTACCTGTCCTACCTCACTTGCTCACCTCTTGACCTTGCTTGTACTCTTGCATATATATATATATATACCTGCTCTTGCTTGTTTAGCCTTATATATATATATATATGTGTCTAGTCTTGCATGTGAACTGGCCTTTTGGCCTTGACCTTGTGCTCGGACTGTGTGGTGACTTCGTGATCCACCCTGAGCTTTGCTTTGCTTTGCTTGACTGGTCTTGTGACCCCTTGTTCTCCCCACTTTGCCTATGGGGGTGTGTCAGATTTATATGACATAGTTGCTGTAGGCTATAGTGGGGTAGCACATATGGGGTACAGGTTTCTAGGGTTGTAGTTGTACCCCAATCTTTCCTTAGTCATTCATTCCTGTTCATTACTTTCACACGATGTATCCTCCTTAATCTCCTCCTTCTCCTCGACGCTGTACTCAATCACGACGCGTCCCGTCTTCTCGCCTCCTCCCTCGTGGTCGGCACCCCCTCCCACACCTGCTCCCTCCGCCACCTGGTCGATCTTTCTCGAAAACAGCTTGACCATGAACAACGGAAGCACATCCGGGCCAGGGTTCGTTCTCCCTAGATGCACGAGTTCGCCCTTTCGAGGTTGTAGGATGAAGTCGTCCCATTTCGACAGAATCCGGCGCACCCCATGCACGACACGAGCTGCCGCGCCGTTTTGATAGGGGCTCGACAAGGCCTTCGTCGTTTGCGACGGGTACAAAACATACGTAAGCGACAAAACACATGCTCGACGAAAACGCTGGTGGTCTAAGGAGAGCTTACCAGATGGTCGAAATCCTCGTTCAACTCCAGACGAAGGTCCATCACGTTCAACACTTCTTGGTCCTCCTCGGTCAGAGCCTGGTGGGTCATCGCGTACTCGGCGCGAAGCTGCTTCTTCATCCACCTGCGACGCAGCGGACAGAAGAGTAAGATTGTCGAGAACAGCAGCTCGACAGCAGGGTAGCAAAGCTGTCACTCACACGAAAACTTCTTGCGCCATAGAAGATTGGTGGTTCATATCGGGAAACTTGTCTTTCGAATCGAAGTGCATCATTTGAGTTCGACTGCCACGGTGCCTCGGAGCCAGCAGATCGTCGGGGCGCGATACCACAAACAGGCTCGAGTGGGAGAACGGAGGCACATTCAGTCTGCATGCAGAGCCAATGCACGTGAGAACGGGTTCAGGGCTAGAGACGGAGCACGCAAGGCGACGGGAGAGTGTCGAACTCACGGTGTCCGCAGCAGAACGAAAACCACTTGCTTGCCGAGGAGGCCGTCGAGGTGGTTGTTCGCAAAAGCGATCGGGGTGGGACGGGCCATCTCTTCACGCGCACGCGCTGGAGAAACGATCGACACCTTGGGGAGCTGCTGGACGGACAGCAGCTCATGACAGAACAGGTTGCACGGAAAGCTAAGGCAACGTCAGCGAAAATGGCAAACATGGCAAACCGAAAATGTTCGACAGGACACGTACACGACGCCTGCGACCATCATGCTCTCGTCGAGCTCCCCTTTCGGCGCCTCTCTAATCGCATTCAGCTAGTCCTTGTACACCTCCACCTCGACCCCGCCTGCACTAAGGATGAGGCCGCGTCGAACCGTCGCCTCGTTCATGACGGGTACGGAGGCGGAGCCAGTAGCCATGTCAGGCCTAGCAGTGGACAGGGCGGGCGCGCAGGGGAGTTGGGAAATAGCAGGGACTAGGAAGTAGGGAAGTAAAAATCGGAAACATCAACAAAATGAGACCGGACGCAGGGTATTAGCTGTTTGCCATCCCTCCCACTGCGACGGACCAGGGGGGTTCAAGGGCGAGGAGGCAGGGCGCTTTCCGAGACGCGGGAGGAGGAGGGAGGAGCTCTTCGCGGAGGCCGGCGGGGCCCTATTGGCCTCGACGTGAAACCTGGTTGTTGGTAGCATGGGGTGGGCCGCCTTGCAAGCAGCTGAAAGGCCCCTTCCAAGGTTCGGGAGGGGGCCTTCGACACGTCACCAAGATCGAGCGGCTTGAACGAAACGGGCCCGTCTAGGGCGAGAGCGGTGGAGCGCGGCGCAAATGGGCGTCGACTTCGTCTGGCCGGCGAAATTTCGTGGACTGGTTCCGTCGGCGATGCGTCGCTCGGCGAGGGATGGGTGGGTTACCGGACGGAACCCGTCCACGCACCGAGCGAGGGGTTGGGCTCGGTTGGGAGGGGGACCACTGCCAGCTCAAGGGCGCGGGCAGCTGGCGTCATCGACAGCTGGCGCCAGCTGGGGGTGCCCGTTTTCGGGCAGGAGGGGGGGGGGGGGGGGGGGGGGGGGGGTGGCTCCCGCCCCTCGCGTGCCCCGCCACGCGATAGAGGGAAAACGAAAATCCCTCTGAGGAAAACCCGCAGGGGCGAACGGGTTTCCACGGAGGGATTCGGGCGAGGTCTTCCCTACAAATGCTCGGACGGGGCCTCCGTCCGGACGATGAAATGTGAAAAGTTACACGCCCTAAAATTTCGTTTGACCGTTTGTCCAGTGAATTTTTGTTTGACCGTTTGTCCAGTGAATTTTGGTTTGACCGTTTGTCCAGTGAATTTTTGTTTGACCACCGTTTGTCCAGTGAATTTTTGTTTGACCGTTTGTCCAGTGAATTTTTGTTTGACCGTTTGTCCAGTGAATTTTTGTTTGACCACCGTTTGTCCAGTGAATTTTTGTTTGACCGTTTGTCCAGTGAATTTTTGTTTGACCGTTTGTCCAGTGAATTTTTGTTTGACCGTTTGTCCAGTGAATTTTTGTTTGACCGTTTGTCCAGTGAATTTTTGTTTGACCGTTTGTCCAGTGAATTTTTGTTTGACCGTTTGCTCCATGGACCTTTGGCTTCAACTGGAAACTCTAAGAGAAGACAACTGTTTGATCCATTGTCCTCCCCTATGGCTCCAACTGGAAGCTCAAATAGAAAGCTCAACGCAGTGGTGGCATCAGCAATGCCGATAGAGGAAATGGGGATAGAGATATGTAAATTGGGAGGAAGAAGGGGGAGAGTAATGAAGGGGCAAAAGCTAACAATGACAAGTGAAAAGTGCTGGGGAACTTTTGTCAGGAATGGGATTTGAACCCATGCCCTTTCGGACCAGTACCTGAAACTGGCGCCTTAGACCGACTCGGCCATCCTGACACGTTAGGTGAGAGGTAAGCGTTATAAAGTCTAGAAGTTTTGCAATTTTTCACCGTATCATATCCGAATCTTGGTTCAATCACACAGCAAGTGTTGATGGACACAGTTCACTATGTGGACGCTCGATATCGCTTATGTGGACGGCCGAGATCTTCCACACAGCAACTGGTGTCGATGGACACAGTTCACTATGTGGACAGTCGAGATTGCTTGGCCTGCATGATTCGGTCCATGGCAAATGCATCCATGAACGAGCAGTCACAGTCACAGACACAAACCACCTGCGTGCTGCCCTGCAGCGAACGCGGTTGCTTGTCTTGTGCAGTAACATAAAGGACTCGTCTTGTCCCAGGCCATTGTTATGCGGATGCTCGGGATCGCTTGGCCTGCATGGTTCGGTCCATGGCAAGTGCATCCATGGATGTGAGTCCACAGAACCATCTGTATCGCTTCACATCTTGCCCCACACAAGATTACCGTACGTCACCAGTGTCATTCCATTGTAGCACTTATGCGGATGCTCGAGATCGCTTGGCCTGCATGATTCGGTCCATGGCAACTGCATCCATAGATGTGGGGTCGAGACTGCGCTCTGCTGCTGCCGTGCACACCTGGGAGGGGGAGGGAGGGGAGGGCATGTGAAGGGAACACGGCTAATAACACAGGACGCAACATGTGAAGGGCGATTCACAGGAGTCCATGGTAACTGCATCCATAACACGACTAATTACACAGGATGTGGGATAGAGACTGCGCTCTGCTGCTGCTGTGCACACCTGGAAGGGAGGGAGGGCAAGTGAAGGGAACACGGCGATGGGTCAGGTACAAGGCAGGAGGCAACATGTGAGAGGCAATCGACTCAAGACATGGAAACTGCATTTGGGGATGTGGGGTCGAGGCTGCGCTTTGCTGCTGCCGTGCACACCTGGAAGGGGAGGGAAGGAAGGATGCAAGGCAGGTGGAGAAAGTCGGGGTCAGGAACATGGCACAGGAGGCAGCATGTGATGGCAATAGATATGAGTCTATAGCGAAGCATGTATGGGTGTGGAATAGAGACAGGGCTCTGCTGCTGCTGCTGCTGTGCACACAAAGAATTCACTGCTGCTAATGCTATTTGGGAGTCACTTTTGAGAACTCTCAAAACTGCTGTGCACACAAAGAACTCACCGCTGCTAATGCTGTTGGTAAACTCATGTGAGCTCAGCTCGTCCAAAACAGTGTCCACCGCACTCTCATCGTCCACATAATACTGCGTCCAACTGATTCTGCTGGTAACCACCTGTTAATTTCCTTATGGCCCCTCTCCACACCCACCCACCTCGTCCATGAGCGTGTCCACCGCACTCTTATCGTCCACATAATAGTGCATCCACCCATTCTCCCCCCTCTCCACACCAACCCACCTCGTCCAAAACAGTGTCCACCGCACTCTCATCGTCCACATAACAGTGAATCCAATTGATTCTGCTGATAACTGCCTCTCATGACGCTGACAGCCGCTTCTAGTTCTATTGTAACCACCTTTGAGCCCCATCAAGCCCAACCCACCTCGTCCATGAGAGTGTCAACAGCGCTCTCATTGTCCACATAAGCCCTTAGCGATTCACAGAGGAAGAGCGTCCAGCTGGATCTGCTGGTAACAGCGTCACAACTTGCTGGTAACCATCTTCCTCCAACCCATTTCAGCCCAGCTCACCTCATCCATAAGAGTGTCAACGGCGCTCTCATCATCCACATTAGCCCGCAGACACCTCTCACTTTCACTTTGCAGGTAACCACTTAAATCCAGCCAAACCAGCTCACCTCGTCCATAAGAGTGTCCACAGCGCTCTCGTCGTCCACATAAGCCCGAAGCGATTCACAGAGAAAGAGAGCGTCCAGCTGGATCTGCTGGTAGCCGCCTCGGTTGAACGTCTCCAGGCGCACGCACTCCTGGAAGCTCTTTAGAGTCAGCTTCACCACTGTGGCCATCACCGACACCTGCAGTAACCACGGTGGGTTGGGTATACACATGGAATGGAATACACTGAATCCGCTGGTAACCGCCTCCGTTGAACGTCTCTAGCCGCACGCACTCCTGGAAGCTCTTCAGAGTGAGCTTCACCACCTTGGCCATCACTGACACCTGTGGGAAGCACAGTAGGGAAGGTATGAAGATGGCATCACTGCATCTGCTGGTAACCTCCTCGGTTGAATATCTCCAGTCGCACGCACTCCTGGAAGCTCTTCAGAGTGAGCTTCACCACCGTGGCCATCACTGACACCTGTGGGAACCATGGTGGTTTGGTTGGGATGGGTATACAAGGGCAATCACTGGATCTGCTGGTAACCTCCTCGGTTGAACGTCTACAGCCACACACACTCCTGGAAGCTCTTGAGAGTGAGCTTCACTGTAGTAGCAAGCACCAACTCCTGCCGTATGTGATAAGTCGAGTATTGAGTCGACTGAAACCTCGACTTATCACACACTACAGTAGCAAGCACCAACACCTGCAGTAGGGGGTGGTATGTGAAGAGTTAGAGGTACAGGTATTATACATACACATGGCGTGATGCAGAGAGGAGGCAGAAATGTGTATGAAGATTGGTTTTGAGACGTCTCAAAACCAATCTTCATACAAGTAGGGGGTGGTATGTGAAGAGCTAGAGGTACAGGTATTATACATACACCTGGCGTGATGCAGAGAGGAGGCAGAAATCAGAGCTCTTCACGGGGATCTTCACCACACTGCTCGATCTTCACCTCACTGCTCAATCTTCAGGTTGAGTCGATTTTTGAGTCGACTAAAAAATCGACTCATCACATGGGGATCTTCACCACACTGATCGATTTTTCAGGTTGAGTTCGATTTCCCCCCCATCTCCCCCCACTCAACCTCCCCGTCTGCCTTGACTGCGCTTACCTCCTGAGTGAACTCAAGCTTGGTAAAAATCTCCACCCGTTGATTGAACAGCTTTGCCACATCTCTCTTACACCCTTATCCTCATCCCCAGCCTACCCTACCCACAACGGCGCTTACCTGAGTGAATTCAAGCTTAGTAAAGATCTCCACTCGTTGCTTAAACAGCTTCGCAACATCCCTCTCCAAAACCCTACCCCTCGTGCCCCCCCTCTCCTTCTGCCCGCCTCCCATCCCGCTCCTCCCACCGCCCCCCCCTCCTCCTCCCCCCACTCCTCCCGTTCCCGAGCCTGCACTCCCGCGGCTCTTGCCGTAGCTGCTTCCCGACCCTCCTCGCGAGGTTCGGGAGCGCTCAGCCCCGGGTTCAAGCAGCTGCTCCACTGAGTCTTCCACTGATTCCACCTCCTGGAGAATCAGATCCACCACCATACGCACATCCCGAGGCTCCTTGTACTGTGTGGGGGGGGAGGAGGGGAGGGTAGAGGGAATTGTGATACATGTTTGTTGTTATTTCAAGCAGAAGCTGCTCCACTGAATCTTCGACTGATTCCACCTCCTGGAGAATCAGATCCACCACCATACGCACATCCCGAGGCTCCTTGTACTGTAGATAGAGGGAGTGGGAGCAGTAGAGGAGCGGAGGGTGAGGGAGAGAGAGGGAATGACCGATTCGATTTTACATGCAGTAGATGCTGCTCCACTAAGTCTTCGGCTGATTCCACCTCCTGGAGAATCAGACCCACCACCATACACACATCCCAAGGCTCCTTGTACTGTGTGTGACAGAAGAGAGGGGGGCGTGGGGGAAGAAAGAGGGGATGAGGGAGACGAAGGAGGCACAGTGGGTGGCAAAGAATCTTCTCTTTTTCCAACTCCTGGAGAATCAAATCCACCACATACGCACGTCCTCGTACTGTGCGCGGGGAAGGGAAGTGAGAGTGGTAGGCATGGAAGGGGAAAACCTACAGAAAGTTGAACGAGTTCAATGTCCTACTGGCCTGAAAGAGCTAGAGCAGATTTTTTAGGAGCCTCAAAAAACAGATCTGGGAAAATATATTAAGAGTTAAACGAATTCATTCAACTGCCTATCCTTCTGGGTTGGGCTGAAAGAGCAGTGTATTCTCCTACTGAACAGTGGCTCGAATCCAAGACCTCCTTTGCATATTCCCTTTACTTCATCGGATTGTCACCTTATTGTGAGCTAAGCAAGAACGCACCTTGACCCAGTTGGGTGTGGACACACTCTTGGCGATCATCTGATGCAGCTTCCGTGCCTCCAGGTCTACATACTGGTAATGCGCACGCATGGCCAAGGCAAGGTGAGGGAGGCAGAGGTGTGGGGGCGGAAGGGGAGGAGGGATGAATGGAGTGTGGTGTGGACACACTCTTGGCGATCATCTGATGCAGCTTCCGTGCCTCCAGATCCACATACTGAATGGTACATGCATGGGGAAGAGGTTGGGGTGGGTTGGGAGGGGTGTATTGAGGCGGGAAGCAGGGGTATGGGTGGGGTGAATGGCGGTCATCTCATCTGATGCAGCTTGCGAGCCTCCAGATCCACATACTGGTTTGTGCACGCATGGGGAGGGCAGGGAGGGAGGGAAGGGGGATGGGGGAGAGATCAGGAGAAGATTGGGGAAGGAGGGAGGGCTGGGGTGAATGAGAAGGAGGGAGGGCTGGGGTGAATGAGAAGGAGGGAGGGCTGGGGTGAATGAGAAGGAGGGAGGGCTGGGGTGAATGAGAAGGAGGGAGGGCTGGGGTGAATGAGAATCAGCTCTTGGCGATCATCGGATGCAGCTTGCGAGCCTCTAGATCCACATACTGGTTGGTGCATGCAAGTCAAGAAAGCAGGGAGATGAGGGAAAGAGGGCGAGGAGAGGGGGGGAGAAAATTGGGGGGGAAGAGAGCAGTGATAAGGCAGGCGTAAATGGGGATCGCTAGTTTTGAGTCGACTCAAAACTGGGAAGAGAGCCGTGATAAGGCAGGGGTAAATGGGGATCACTTCTCGGCGATCATCTGGTGCAGCTTATGAGCCTAGAGATCCACATACTGGCTTGTGCATGTAGGACATGGGCAGGGAGGGGGAGGCAGAGGTGTGGGGGCGGCAGGGGAGCAGGGATGAATGGAGAGTGGAGTGGATACACTCTTGGCGATCATCGCAGCTTACGTGCCTTGAGATCCACATACTGGTTGGTGCACACATGGGACAGAAAGAGGGCAGGGAGGGAGGAAGAGAGAGGGGAATGGGGATCACTTCTTGGCGATCATCTGATGCAGCATACGAGCGGCAGTGGAGCAGAGGGGTGAGGGCGCACGCTGCACATGGTTAAAAAGAAACATTACGGTACGATATTTTTTTTTTTTTTTTTTTTTTGGCGATGTTTTGGTTTTTCCCTCACTAACAATGCAAGCACTCTCAGCAGCACTCTCTGCAAATCCTCCTCACCTGCTGAAGAAGCTTCTCGGAAGTGTCATGAAACTGACGCATGAGGTCTGAGGAGGAGAAGAGCTGCTCGCTGTCATCATCTAATCGGACATTGTGAGGAGCAAACTGGGTCTCGAGAATCTGGGATAAGAAGGGAGGAAACAACAGAAGGAAGGACGTAGAGAACAAGAGATGATATTTCCCATTGTCCGAATGCAGGATGTTTGGGGAGGGGAGAAAGCTGGGCCTGAATCACCTGAGAGATGAGCAGAGGAAACAACAGAAGGAAGAAGGGAGGGGCCTAATGAGGTCTGACAAGGAGAAGAGGGAGTTGAGGCAGCAGCAGGAGCAGGAGCAGGAGCGTCACTTCCTTAACAGCCCCTAGGAATCTAGGCTAGGCCTAGGAGAGTTGGGGGCTTGGGGCCCGTAGGCCCACCACCGTGCACTTGCTCCCTTTGCACCCGCGCGTCTGGCTGCTAAAGAATCATTCACCGTGGCTAGCTTGGGCAGAACAGTGTGCTGGATCCTGTTTTTGCGGCGACCAAAGAAAAGGCCGTGCACTTAGGACAGGGGCATCATAGTAGCATGGGTGCCTATAGGCGAGCCAGATTTCATCACTGCCGAAGTGCGCAAGCGCCAAGCCTCCCTTAGAACTGCAGCGCCATGGCTCCCACGCTTAGAAAACCCGCAAGTTGCAGCGCACCTTCTAGCTGTATGTCTTTCAGTAGATCCTTCTTATCCACTTCGCACAGTTCCCCCTACTGACGACGTTCTAGAGGCGTACAGTTAGGGATGAGCATAGATACGAACACCTGTTCGGTCCGCCTCGAACACGTTTGAGGCGAACCGAACAGGGATTTTTTTTGCCCAAAAATGTTCGCCTCAAACGTGTTCGCTGTTCGGGCGAACACGTTCGGTGTTCACCCTCGTCAACTGGCCGAGCCGCATCGAACACGAACGCGTTCGTGTTCGACGCGGGGCTTCGACGAACACTTCGGTGTTCGTCGACGAATTGGCCCGCGACCAATTTTTAGGTCGCGGGCCTTGATGTTTGAGCTCAATTTTTTAGCTCGAACTATCCGCGACCTAATCGCCAGCCCCTTAGCGCCCACTGCCGCCCTTTCCTAGCAGTCCTAGAACCCTCACTACACCATCTTAGATTGATTTAGGTTACATTAGTGGTTACCAGAATAGCGGAACCTTGAAGAACTTGCGCTTAAAGTAGGGAGTATGCGTTTAGGGGGCGTCAGATTCCCTTTTTTGCAAGTGTGACTACAGTGAAAGGTGTCCCTTGGCGAACACGAACGTGTTTGCCTCGAACACGTCCGCGTTCGCCTTTCCAAGCAAGGTGTTCGCCTTTCCAAGCAAGGTGTTCGCCTTTCCAAGCAAGGTGTTCGCCTTTCCAAGCAAGGTGTTCGCCTTTCCAAGCAAGGTGTTCGCCTTTCCAAGCAAGGTGTTCGCCTTTCCAAGCAAGGTGTTCGCCTTTCCAAGCAAGGTGTTCGCCTTTCCAAGCAAGGTGTTCGCCTTTCCAAGCAAGGTGTTCGCCTTTCCAAGCAAGGTGTTCGCCTTTCCAAGCAAGGTGTTCGCCTTTCCAAGCAAGGTGTTCGCCTTTCCAAGCAAGGTGTTCGCCTTTCCAAGCAAGGTGTTCGCCTTTCCAAGCAAGGTGTTCGCCTTTCCAAGCAAGGTGTTCGCCTTTCCAAGCAAGGTGTTCGCCTTTCCAAGCAAGGTGTTCGCCTTTCCAAGCAAGGTGTTCGCCTTTCCAAGCAAGGTGTTCGCCTTTCCAAGCAAGGTGTTCGCCTTTCCAAGCAAGGTGTTCGCCTTTCCAAGCAAGGTGTTCGCCTTTCCAAGCAAGGTGTTCGCCTTTCCAAGCAAGGTGTTCGCCTTTCCAAGCAAGGTGTTCGCCTTTCCAAGCAAGGTGTTCGCCTTTCCAAGCAAGGTGTTCGCCTTTCCAAGCAAGGTGTTCGCCTTTCCAAGCAAGGTGTTCGCCTTTCCAAGCAAGGTGTTCGCCTTTCCAAGCAAGGTGTTCGCCTTTCCAAGCAAGGTGTTCGCCTTTCCAAGCAAGGTGTTCGCCTTTCCAAGCAAGGTGTTCGCCTTTCCAAGCAAGGTGTTCGCCTTTCCAAGCAAGGTGTTCGCCTTTCCAAGCAAGGTGTTCGCCTTTCCAAGCAAGGTGTTCGCCTTTCCAAGCAAGGTGTTCGCCTTTCCAAGCAAGGTGTTCGCCTTTCCAAGCAAGGTGTTCGCCTTTCCAAGCAAGGTGTTCGCCTTTCCAAGCAAGGTGTTCGCCTTTCCAAGCAAGGTGTTCGCCTTTCCAAGCAAGGTGTTCGCCTTTCCAAGCAAGGTGTTCGCCTTTCCAAGCAAGGTGTTCGCCTTTCCAAGCAAGGTGTTCGCCTTTCCAAGCAAGGTGTTCGCCTTTCCAAGCAAGGTGTTCGCCTTTCCAAGCAAGGTGTTCGCCTTTCCAAGCAAGGTGTTCGCCTTTCCAAGCAAGGTGTTCGCCTTTCCAAGCAAGGTGTTCGCCTTTCCAAGCAAGGTGTTCGCCTTTCCAAGCAAGGTGTTCGCCTTTCCAAGCAAGGTGTTCGCCTTTCCAAGCAAGGTGTTCGCCTTTCCAAGCAAGGTGTTCGCCTTTCCAAGCAAGGGTGTTCGCCTTTCCAAGCAAGGTGTTCGCCTTTCCAAGCAAGGTGTTCGCCTTTCCAAGCAAGGTGTTCGCCTTCACAGGCGAACAGCAAACACCTATTTTCGCCAAATGTGTTCGGCTGTGTTCGCGCAGGGGCGAACGCGAACACGTTCGTGTTCGCCCCTTGCTCATCCCTACGTACAGTGACTGGGACGACCACCTCTTAGACACGCGCATCTCTTTCTTCCCGCCAGACTGTTGGGACTTAGACACCACAGAGGGGCAGTTAGCGCGGTTACAAGTGTTCTTGCTGATCCGAATAGGAGGTCTAGGCATCCATAGCGCACGCCGGCACGCGTCCCTTAGCTATGTCTGCAGCTGGGCGCAAGCGATTTCAGTACTAGCTAACAATTGCTGCACCCAAGGTGATAATTTACCCCACCATTTCATCGCCGCTGATGCTGTTGACCGCCCAGACCCACAAGCCACATGTGCTTTAGCTGCCTTACCTCAGGACCTTCGCCACCTCGTCCCCCCTTGGTCCGCATTCCTAGCTGGCTATCCGACCGGATCTTCTCTGACCTTGCTCAACGCATTTCTGCACATGCTGTGAGCAGTTACGCGCCGCTACTACCTAGCACCATCAGCTAGTCCCTTTAACTTCCCTTGAGGACCCGTCTGCTGGTGGTGCATGGGTCCTGAAGAGAAGTTAAACCAGCAGACGAGTGCTAAAGCACGTGTGGCTTGTGGGTCTAGGTGGTCAACAACATCAGTGGCGACGAAAGGGTAGCTTGGGTACAGCAATTGTTGGCTAGGACTGGGATCGCTTGTGCCCAGCTGCAGACGTAGCTTAGGGAGGCGTGCCGGCGTGCGCTCTGAATACCTAGACCCTCCATTCGGATCGGCAAGAACACTTGTGATCGTGCTAACTGCCCCTCTGTGGTGACTTGGTCCCAATAGTCTGGCAGGAAGAGAGAGAGAGAGATGAGCGTGTCTAAGAGGTGGTCATCCTAGTCACTGTACGCCTCTAAAACGTCGTCCGTAGGGGGAACAGTGCGAAGGAGGTAAGAAAGACATACGGCTAGAAGGCATGCTGCGATTTGCGGGGTTTGCAGGCGTGGGAGCCATGGCGCTATAGTTCTAAGGGAGGCTAGGCGCTTGCGCAGATCGTGCGCTTGCTCTCTTTGTACCTGCTCACTTGGCTGCTAAAGACCCACTCACATCGGCTAGCTTGGAGGGCCCAGGGTGCTGGATGAGGAGAGAGAGAGAGTCGCACCAGTAGCAGCACCAGCATCACCACCAGCATCACCGACAGAAGCAACAGCAGCAGCACTTTCACTCCCCAAACAGGAGCTGAGCCCGAGACCCTAACACTCGCCATATGTGCTTGATATTCACTACAGTGGTTGACTACAACGGCTCACTCACAGTGGCTAGCTTGGGCAGAGCAGTGTGCTGGATGAAGGGAGAGAGGCGCGCTAGCAGCAGCACTAGCAGCAGCAACAGCAACAGCAGCACCAACAGCAGCAGCAGCAGCAGCAGCAGCAGCAGCAGCAGCAGCAGCAGCAGCAGCAGCACTGTCACTCCCTTAACAGGTGCCAGACTTGAGGCCCGTACTCACAGTGGCTAGCTTGGGCAGGGCAGTGTGTTGGATGAAGAGAGAGAGGCGCGCTAGCAGCAGCAACAGCAGCAGCAGCAGGAGGGCACTGTCACTCCACCAACTGGTGCCAAACTAGAGGCTGCTAAAGACCCACTTACCGTGGCTAGCTTGGGCAGGGCAGTGTGTTGGATGAAGAGAGAGAGGCGCGCTAGCAGCAGCACCAGCATAGGTACAGGTCCTCCTGCTGCAAGCATGGATGGTTGGATTGGATGGAGGAATTACAAACAAGTACATATACTTTGAGGCGCTTTCCATACATATGCATGCAGTGCAAACACACATGCTGGCAGCAGCACCACAGGCACGGGCCCTGCTGGTGCAAGCAACATATGAACGCACAAATGTACATAGATGATGCAGCAGAGAGGCATGTGATATAAAAGTTGAGTTTCGAGCCGTCTCAGAACTCAACTTTTATCACGTAGCAACATATGCACGCACAAATGGACATAGATGACGTGGAGAGAGGCACAAACACAAGGCAGGACTTTTAATGCCTGTGGGGGACTGGTGCACGTGGGTGGGCGGCAGGGTGGAGAGGGATAGGCCAGCTCTGATCCTACGGCCTAATATGCCTAGCTTTTCATGCCTCACGTCACATGTGACAGGGTTGATGCACGTGGGCATGAGGAGGCGGAGGGATGGAGAGGGATGGAGAGTGATGGAGAGGGATGGAGAGGGATGGAGAGGGATGGAGAGGGAGAGAACGAAGTAAGGGTTGAAGGAGGAGAGGGGCACAGAGCGGGGTGGGTAGGAAGAAGATGAGGGAGCCTACCTGACCCAGGTCAGGTGTTGCAGCCTGCAGGAGGAGGCCTTTCAGTACCGGTGGGGGATTGGTCAACGTGGGCAGGCGGAGGGGTGGAGAGGGAGAGGAAGTGGGAGTTAAGAGAGGCGAAGAGTATGAAGAGGAGAGAAGAAAGAGAGAGCGGATGAGGTGAGAGGATGCAGGAGTGGCTTACCTGACCCAGGAGTGGAGGGAGGGGGACGTTCGGTGCCGGTGGGGGATTGGTGAACGTGGGCAGAGGGGAGGGTGGAGAGGGAGAGGAAGTGGGAGTTGAGGGAGGCGAAGAGAACAGAGAGGGCAGGAGAAAGAGAGAAGAGCACCTTTCACAGGCCTACCTGACCCAGGGGTGGAGGGAGGTGGCCTCTCAGTGCCGGTGGGGGATTGATGCACGTGGGCAGGAGGAGGGGTGGAGAGGGAGAGGAAGTGGGAGTTGAGGGAGCCGAAAAGAACAGAGAGGGGAGAATGGGAGGGAGAAAGAGCGATGAAGGGGAAAAGGAGTGGCTTACCTGACCCAGGCGTGGAGGGAGGGGGGCGCTCAGTGCCAGTGGGGGATTGATGCACGTGGGCAGGCGGAGGGGTGGAGAGGGTGAGGAAGTGGGAGTTGAGGGAGCCGAAGAGCACCGAGAGCTGTGATTGGACGAGAGAGAGGAAGTCGTCGGTCCAGGAGGAGAGGAGGTCAACGCGGTCATGGAGAAGGGACCTGAAATCCTGAAGGAGGGAGGGCGGGGGCGGGTGTACAGGGGAAATGGAAGTGGAATGGGAAGAGAGATGAGAGAGCGAGAGGAAGTCGTCGGTCCAAGAGGAGAGGAGGTCGACATGATCATGGAGAAGGGACCTGAAATCCTGAAGGAGGGAACGTGTGAGAAGAAAGGCACAAGAAAGAGATAGAAGGGGAGAAGATGAGAGAGCGAGAGGAAGTCATCATCAGTCGGGGAGGAGAGATGGTTGAAACGATCGTTTTAAACGACCGTGCAACCATCTCTTCAGGAGAGACTTGAAATGATTTTTGAGGCGCCTCCCTATATGAACTTAGATTGTTTCAAACGATCGTGCAACCATCTCTTCAGGAGAGACTTGAAATGACTTTTGAGGCGTTTCTCGATATGAACTTGGATTGTTTCAAACGATCGTGCAACCATCTCTTCAGGAGAGACTTGAAATCCTGAAGGACGGGAGAGAGAAGTACAAGCAGATGTCAAGCAGGAAATCCCGGCGAGGGGAGGGAGGGCGGGAAACAGAAGAGCAAGGGGAAGAAAGATGAGAGAACGGAAGTTGTGACACCGACAGTACCTCTAGCAGCCTGAGAGAGGAGTTGAGGATGAGTCGCTGCACCGACTCCAGCACTGCTGCCAGCGGCATGTCCTCTCCCTCCCATACCAAGCAGTGCACTATCATACGAGACGAGAATCACAGACCCAGCAAGCGCTAGGCCTCCTCCAGCTTACCTCCAGCAGCCTTAGGGACGAGTTGAGGATGGGTCCTTGCACCGACTCCAGCACTGCTGCCAGAGGTCGGTCCCGCCTGCGTTCCATACGGCACACTCAGCAATAGCAAGAGACAGACAAAAGAACTAGGACTCTTACGAATTACCTCCAGCAGCCTTAGGGATGAGTTGAGGATGAGTCCTTGCACTGACTCCAGCACTGCTGGCAGAAACCTCTCCCTTCCCTGCCTACCGCCCATACCAAGCAAGCAGCGCACTCAAAGCAAGACCACAACATGTGGTGCGGATCAAACCACCGCCCATCCATACCTCCAGCAGCCTTAGGGACGAGTTGAGGATGAGTCCTTGAGCTGATTCCAGCACTGCTGCCAGGGGTCGGTCCCCCTCTCCACGAAGCGATTTGGCCTGGCCCGCAGAGAGGGAGGGCAGAGAGCCTGGTGCTCCTGGCTTGGCTGCCACTGCATGCAGAGCATCTGAGGGGGTAGAGAGGGGTGGGAGGGAGTAGAGATGGGACACGGGGCGAGGGGCGGGGGGCGAGGGAGCAACTTGGACGGGGCAGCAGCAAGGGAGGGCAACGAGCCGTGCGCTCCTGGCTTGGCTGCCACTGCATGCAGAGCATCTGAGGGGGTAGAGAGGGGTGGGAGGGAGTAGAGATGGGACACGGGGCGAGGGGCGGGGGGCGAGGGAGCAACTTGGACGGGGCAGCAGCAAGGGAGGGCAACGAGCCGTGCGCTCCTGGCTTGGCTGCCACTGCATGCAGAGCATCTGAGGGGGTAGAGAGGGGTGGGAGGGAGTAGAGATGGGACACGGGGCGAGGGGCGGGGGGCGAGGGAGCAACTTGGACGGGGCAGCAGCAAGGGAGGGCAACGAGCCGTGCGCTCCTGGCTTGGGTGCCACTGCATGCAGAGCATCTGAGGGGGTAGAGAGGGGTGGGAGGGAGTAGAGATGGGACACGGGGCGAGGGGCGGGGGGCGAGGGAGCAACTTGGACGGGGCAGCAGCAAGGGAGGGCAACGAGCCGTGCGCTCCTGGCTTGGCTGCCACTGCATGCGGAGCATCTGAGGGGGTAGAGAGGGGTGGGAGGGAGTAGAGATGGGACACGGGGCGAGGGGCGGGGGGCGAGGGAGCAACTTGGATGGGGCAGCAGCAAGGGAGGGCAACGAGCCGTGCGCTCCTGGCTTGGCTGGCACTGCATGCAGCACATCTGAGGGGAGTAGGGTGGGGCGAGAGTTGAGTCCAGGGAGGGATGGGACAGACGGGATGAGTTGAGTCCAGCACTGCTGCCAGAGGCCTGTCACCCCCTCCATGCAGCGACTTGGGTGGGGCTGCAGCGAGGGAGGGCAGGGAGCCGTGCGCTCCTGGTTTTGCTGCCACTGCATGCAGCGCGTCTGAGGGGAGGAGTAAAGGGGGGTGGGAGAGGAGGAGGGAGGAATAAGTCTCGAGCACTGCAGCGAGTGGCATACCCCCGCTGAGTAGGACTTGACCAAGGGACGGCAGGGAGCCGTGCCGTGCGCTCCTAGCTTTGCTGCCACTGCGTGCAGTCCGTCTGGAGGGAGGAGAAAGGTGGAGGAAAGGGGGGTGAAGGGGCGAGCGGCGAGGGTGGAAAAGGGAAAGCAGACCTGGAGATGAAAGGAGTTTTGAGACGTCTCTTGAGTCAAGGGTCAAAGGTCAAAATTGAAGCAAGTGTGAACGGGTTCCTTGTTTTGTGAACGAGCATGGGTTGGGATGGTCAACTGAGTGCGAGTCAATAGGAGCAAGGGATGAAAAACTCACCGGTGATTCGGATTTCCAAGAGTGCAAAGCCCTGCATGATGTGATCGCGCACTGCCTTTGAGGCGCCTCAAAAGAAGCTGCCTCAAGAGTAAACTTCTGAGTTGACTTTTGAGGCGCCTCAAAATTCGTCTCATTACCCGCAATTTTTTTTTGAGGCGCCTCAAAAGTCACTGCCTTTGAGGCGCCTCAAAAGAATATGCCTCAAGAGTAAACTTCTGAGTCGACTCAAGAGTCACCTCATGCAATGCAAGGCTCACCTGTGATTCGAATCTCCAAGAGTGCAAAGCCCTGCATGATGTGATCGCGCACCGCTGCTGCCAAGGCCTGGGGAGACAGAGACAAACAAGAAATGTGAGATTTCAAGGGGGAAAAAGAGGGGCGCGGAAGGCACACGAGAGAAAAGCCTCACATTCCGCCACCTAACGTGTTTCTGTTACCTGTTACCACGGCTTACCACCGCTTACCACACAGCGGTTTGTTCCTTGGCCTTATTCTCCTCTGCCTCACCTCACCTCTGCTGCTCTGTCCTACCAGCTCAGACATGTTCAAATTAGTTGTAGCTGGTACTGTCTCTGTTACTGTTACCGCCAATTAGTTAGTTAGTTTCCTAACCCTGTCATCACCCCTCACCTCTGCTGCTCTGTCCTGCAGGTCAGCATCAGGGACCAGCTCAGACATCTTCACTTCACCACGTCAGTAATGAGTTAGTGCTACAGACTCTGATTTTTTCCCCTCTACTCACCTCTGCCGCTCTGTCCTGCAGGTCAGCATCAGGGACAAGCTCCGACATTTTCACCACGTCCTGAGAGATCTTTCCTGGAAAATGCCAAGGTATAGGAGTGGGGGGCATAGAAGAGGGGAAAGAGAGGCATCATAAGGCATGCTCACAGCTCGCTCCCTCTCAGTTCCCCACTCTATGAGCGCAAAGACGAGGACAGAGAGGACGTGGAGAATGATGGCTGAATTGGTTCCTCGCACTCCCTTCCGTCCTCTCTGCCTCTTCCTCTCCTTCCCTCACTCCCATTCACTGAGTGCAAAGACAAGGTCGGACGAGGATTGGGATGTACCCCTCCTCTCATGCTCGCTCCCCCTCTCCCCTTCTCCCCCATGCTCCATTCCACTCACTGAGCGCAAACACGAGGTCAGACGAGGAGCGGGTGTCTGAAGGCTGCATGCAGCGCTGCAGATATGTGATGTACCTGGTGGGGGGGGTGGGGGGGATGGTGGGTGGTGGCGTGCGTGGTGGGGAAAAACAGGGAAGGCGGGATGGATTGAGGTTAGGCCATTCCTTCCACAAGAGATGCGTTGCAGGGTTGAAGGTTGCATGCTGTGCTCTGCAGGTATCTGATGTACCTGGTGGGGGGAAGGTGCAAGGAGGGAGTGAGCGGGCGACATTTTCACAGGTAATCGACAGAGAGAGAAAAAAGAAAGAGAGACAGAAAGAAAGAAAGAGAGACAGAAAGAAAGAAAGAGGGAAAGAAAGAAAGAAAGAAAGAAGAAAACCGACAAACGTTTGTGGTATGTGAGGCATGTTTTGAATTGAACGTTTTTACTCATTGAAGAGGGAACCAGTTGACAGCAATAAAAAAGCTTGTCCGTCCCTGCCCATCGGGAATATCCTGGTTTCAGTGGGCCTTACAAGGCCACGCCACGTGGCACATTCTTACTCGTTGAAGAGGGAGCGGGTGGCTGAGCATGATCACATGATCACGTGATATAAGGATTGCTGTGAGACGTCTCAAAACACTTCTTATATCCAATGATCACTTGATCATGTGTTCCTTAATGTGACACATGTCACGACCACACTAAGCCACGCGACACTACCTTGCTGTGCCACGTGGCACATCCTTACTCGTTGAAGAGGGAGCAGGTGGCCTCAGTGAGCTTGTCCCCTCCCATGGGGAATATCCCTCGGAACGATGCGGCTGTGCGCTCAAAATCATCCATGAAGTCCTGAAAGGGCGAGTTGAGGGCGAGGGAAGGAGCAGAACAGACGGTCAGCAATGCAGTGAAGGCTTAATACCCTTCCACACAATGGGAAGCTAAATATCCCTCGGAAGGATGCTGCTGTTCGCTCAAAATCGTCCATGAAGTCCTGTTATGGTGTGAGAGGGAGAGAGAGGGAAGAGCAATAGAGTTGCACGACAGCAAGCAGGGGCATTGCTGGTCAGCAACAACACATCGCCGACTCCAAAGCCTCCCATGGGGAATATCCCTCGGAACGACGCGGCTGTGCGCTCAAAATCGTCCATGAAGTACTGATGGGGGAGAGGGAGAGAGAGCAACACTGGCATGACAGGTCCAAAACGCAACCCTCCCATGGGGAATATCCCTCGGAACGGCACGACGCGGCTGTGCGCTCAAATTCGTCCATGAAGTCCTGATGGGGGGAAAAGAGAGTGAGGGAGGGAGTTTGCACGGAGCAGAAGCATCCACAACTAAACAACAGGAAGAGAACGACAAGAACGAGTTGATGGAAGTAAGACCTCCGCAGCCCACCTGTCCTCTTTTGACAGCTCCGGAGCAAAAGCATCCACAACCACAACGGGAAGAGAACGACAAGAACGGTCAGGCTGCCTCAGCTCCCTCACCAGCCTGCACCCTCTCCAACCTCACTCCACCCCCTTACCACCCTCCTTCCTTCCCCAGCACTCACCCGCTTGAGAGCGTCAACGAAGGTCTGTGAGGGAGCAGTGGGGTCGACCATGCCGCTTTCCCCTTTCCTTCCCACCTCGTCACTCGCCTGCCTCACCTCCCCCACCAGTCTGCACCCTTCCCCCACCCCACTCCACCCTCGTTCCCCCCAGTACTCACCCGCTTGAGCGCGTCAACAAAAGTCTGAGAGGGAGCAGTGGGGTCGACCATGCCAATCTCCCCTTTCCTTCCCACCTCGTCACCTGCCTGCCTGCCTCCACTCCTCCACCAATCTGCACCCTCCCCCACCTCACCCAACCCTCCCTCCTCAGTTACTCACCCTTTTGAGAGCATCAACGAAGGTCTGCGAGGGAGCAGTGGGGTCGACCACGCCGCTCTCCTCCGTCCTGCCCACCTCGTCGCTCGCCTGCCTGAGCTCCCCAATCAGCCGCTCCCAGTGCGTCGACAAATACGCATCCATGAGAGGGCCCACCTGTGGGTGTGTGAGTGTATGGGAGAGGGGGGGGGGGGGGTAAGGGTACATAGGTGGGTTAGAGCGAAAGGGAAGCTGGGTTAGCCTCCTTCTCCTCCGTCCTGCCCACCTCATCGCTCGCCTGCCTGAGCTCCCCAATCAGCCGCTCCCAGTGCGTTGACAGATACGCATCCATGAGAGGGCCCACCTGTGGTGAATTTTGAGGCGCCTCAAGAAACGATGTTTTAGGCGCCTAGAAAAATCGTCCATGAGAGGGTCACCTGTGGTGAAAAATGAGAAAGGCAAGGAGAAGGTTAAGTTATTCTCCATCTCTACGGCCTGCCTTTATTTCTCCCCTGCACCTGCCAGTCAACGCCAGTCAACGCCCTCACCTGGTGGCCCAGCTCCTGCAGCAGCTCAGCCGCTTCAGCCCTCTGCTCCATCGCCTCCTCCTCACTCATCACCCGCGCCTGCAGCCCCCATTCTCAGGGCCCAACACCAAGTCAAAGCCAGTCAACGCCCAGTCAACCCCAAGTCAACGCCCGGTCAACGCCAGTCAACGCCAGTCAACGCCCTCACCTGGTGGCCCAGCTCCTGCAGCAGCTCAGCAGCCTCGGCCCTCTGCTCCATCGCCTCCTCCTCACTCATCACCCGCGCCTGCAGCCGCTTGCTGATGCCAGCCATGACGTCATCAGCCTCCTTCTTGCATGTTCTGAAGGACGTCTCGCCATAAGACTGAATGGGAGGGAGGGGAAGAGGGAAGGCAGGTGAGCAGAAGGGTCGGAGTGAAGGCTTGTTGTGCCAAAGTGAAGGCTTGCTGTCGGAGTGAAGGCTTGTTGTGCCAAAGTGAAGGCTTGTTGTGCCAAAGTGAAGGCTTGTTGTGCCAAAGTGAAGGCTTGCGGTCGGAGTGAAGGCTTGTTGTGCCAAAGTGAAGGCTTGTTGTGCCAAAGTGAAGGCTTGCTGTCGGAGTGAAGGCTTGTTGTGCCAAAGTGAAGGCTTGTTGTGCCAAAGTGAAGGCTTGTTGTGCCAAAGTGAAGGCTTGCTGTCGGAGTGAAGGCTTGTTGTGCCAAAGTGAAGGCTTGTTGTGCCAAAGTGAAGGCTTGCTGTCGGAGTGAAGGCTTGTTGTGCCAAAGTGAAGGCTTGTTGTGCCAAAGTGAAGGCTTGCTGTCGGAGTGAAGGCTTGTTGTGCCAAAGTGAAGGCTTGTTGTGCCAAAGTGAAGGCTTGCTGTCGGAGTGAAGGCTTGTTGTGCCAAAGTGAAGGCTTGTTGTGCCAAAGTGAAGGCTTGTTGTGCCAAAGTGAAGGCTTGCTGTCGGAGTGAAGGCTTGTTGTGCCAAAGTGAAGGCTTGTTGTGCCAAAGTGAAGGCTTGCTGTCGGAGTGAAGGCTTGTTGTGCCAAAGTGAAGGCTTGTTGTGCCAAAGTGAAGGCTTGTTGTGCCAAAGTGAAGGCTTGCTGTCGGAGTGAAGGCTTGTTGTGCCAAAGTGAAGGCTTGTTGTGCCAAAGTGAAGGCTTGTTGTGCCAAAGTGAAGGCTTGCTGTCGGAGTGAAGGCTTGTTGTGCCAAAGTGAAGGCTTGTTGTGCCAAAGTGAAGGCTTGACTGCTGCGCGGTACTGGTGTTTCTTGGAGTAGGTTCTGAGGCGCTTGGGCAGCGGATCGGATCCACACAGTGGCTCACAGGGTTCATTTGAGGAGCAACGAGGAAGCAGCGGAAGCAAGCAATAGGCCATGCTACCTACCTGCAGAATGGGCAGAGCGCCCACGTATGCCTTGACTGCTGCGCGGTACTGGTGATTCTTGGAGTAGGTTCTGAGGCGCTTGGGAAGGTCGAATATGAACTGCGAGGCAGGCAGGCAGGGAGAAGAAGCAGAGGGCGATGGGAGGGATGCGAGGGGATGCAATGCTCAATGTCTAGTTTGAATGATACTGGTGAATTCGGAGAGTAGATTCTCAGGCGCTTGGGCATTGGGCAGTCAGAATATGGAGGGAAAGCATGCACCCAACCCCACCCAAGCCAACCCAAACCAACCCAGCACAACCAAACCATGCCCAACCGAACCCAGCCCACCTGTGCCTTCCTCGGCAAGCTGCGAGTGTCGTTGAGCTGCTCGATCCGCTCCCTCCTCTCCGATAGGTTGCTGTTGATGGCCGTGCTCTGCTCCTGCATCCATCTATTTGTACACCACCCCACCATCCATCCAACCCAACCCAACCCAACCCAACCCAACCCAACACAACCGAACTGAACCTAACCTAACCGAACCTAATGCCACCTGTGCCTTTCTCAGCAGGCTGCGAGTGCCATTGAGCTGCTCGATCCGCTCCCTCCTCTCCGAGAGAAAGCTGTTGATGGTCGTGGTCTGCTCTGCTGCTGCATCCATCTACACCAAACCACCATCCATCCAACACAACCCAGCCGAACCCAGTCTCACCTGTGCCTTCCTCAGCAGGCTGCGAGTGCCGTTCAGCTGCTCAATCCGCTCCCTCCTCTCCGATAGGTTGCTGTTGATGGCCGTGCTCTGCTCCTGCACTGTCGTCACCTGGGTGGGGGGGGAGGGGGGGGGGGGGGGGGGGGGGGAAGGACAAAGGGACGAAGAGGGGTGGGGGTGCGGCAAGTTGCATGAAAGCTGCACGTTCAGTCAACCCTCTCTGACAAATTGCTGTTGATAGCCGTGCTCGGCTCCTGCACGGTCGTCACCTGGGAGAGGGAGGGAGGGCAGGAGGGTAGGATAGCTGGGGAGGGGTAGAAGCCATGTGAACTGCCAGCCAGTCCGCTCCCTCCTCTTCGACAGATTGCTGTTGATAGCCGTGCTCTGCTCCTGCACGGTCGTCACCTGGGAGAGGGAAAGGGGGTTGGGGAGAGAGGGAGGGGAAGAGGGAGGGAATGAGGGTTAACCTAAGGACGGGAAGGACTCTTCTATTCCACGACGCGTCAACGTAGGACCATTCAAAGGGGTCAATCAAAGTCAACGAGGGTCAAGGCAGTCAAACAGGGCGCAGATTCGCCTACTGTGTGCGTGAACAACTGTGTATCCCCATTTTATTCATTTATTTCATTATTCTTATGTAACGAATTCAAGCACACATACCGTGCGTAGCAGCTGGTCCATACTCGACTCCATGCTCGCCACATTGTCCTTCATGCTGATGGGGGGGAATTGCACAGGGGAAAGGGGAAGGAGCGAGGGAATGGGAGAGAGGGAGTGGAAGGAGGGAAGCAGCTGTTGACTTTTGAGTCGACTCAAAAGTCACCTCGTACTGGACTCCATGCTCGCCACATTGACCTTCATGCTGATGCGCGATGGGGGGTTGTGGGGGAGATGTGGTGGAAGATGGAAGAAGGGGGAGATGAGAGATGGGGTGGGTGAAGCAGAAGGAAGCAGCTGGTACATACTGGACTCCATGCTCGCCACATTGTCCTTCATGCTGGTGGGCCATGGGGGGTGTGGTAGAAGCGTGGGGAGTGGGGGAGGAATGAAAGAAACGAGGAGAGAGGGGAGAGGGTGAGCGGATGGAAAGCAGCAGCTGGTCCATACTGGACTCCATACTCGCCACGTTGCCCTTCATGCTGATAGCGAGGGAAGGAATGGGTGAGTGCGACAGAACAAAGCAGCAGCTGGTCCATACTGGACTCCATGCTCGCAACATTGTCCTTCATGCTGGTGGGGATGGGGGGTGGGGGTTGTGGGGACATCAACAAGTCAAGGGGGCAAGGAAGGTTTTTGAGATTTCTCAAAAACTCCCTGCAAGGACGAGGTTGAGCAGCTGGTCCACGCTGGACTCCATGCTCGCCACATTGTCCTTCATGCTGGTGGGGGGTTGCATGCGGAGAGGGGAAGGAGCGAGGGAATGGGGGAGAGGGTGCGTGGATGGAAGGGATGCAGGTGATCCATACTGGACTCCATGCTCGCCACATTGTCCTTCATGCTGATGGTGAGTGAAAAGGTGGGATGAAAGGGTGAGTTGGGGGGAAAGCAGCAGCTGGTCCATGCTGGACTGGACTCCATGCTCGCCACATTGTCCTTCATGCTGATGGGAGGGAGCGGGGAGGAGGAGAGGGCAAAGAGAAGATGGGAAGCAGAGGGGGATGTTGAGTGGACGCAAGCAGCAGCGGGCCCACACTGGATTTCATACTCGCCACATTGTCCTTCATGCTGGTGGGAGGGATTGCAGGTGAGACGGAGAGGGAATAGCGAGGGAGGGAGTGGGTGAGTGTGACAAAACAAAGCAGCAGCTGGCCCATACTGGATTTCATACTCGCCACATTATCCTTCATGCTGATGGTTGGTTGCATTGCAAGGGAAGGGCAATGAAACACGGCAAAGAGGCAGGTGAGTGGGGTACAGGCGAGTAGCTGGTCCAGACTGGATTCCATACTTGCCACATTGTCCTTCATGCTGATGGGGGGTTAGGCAAGGAGGGGGAGATGGGGGAAGGGGGAAGATGGAGAGGGAAGGTGAGTGGGGTACAGGCAAGTAGCTGGTCCAGACTGGACTCCATACTTGCCACATTGTCCTTCATGCTGATGGGGGGGTTGGGGGAGCAGGAACAGCAACAAGTCAGAGGGGAGGGGAAGGATGGAGGAGGGTGAGTGGATGCGAGGAAGGAGCAGCTGGTCCATACTGGACTCCATACTCGCCACATTGTCCTTCATGCTGGTGGGAGGGATTGCAGGTGAGACGGAGAGGGAATATCGAGGGAGGGAGTGGGTGAGTGCGACAGAACAAAGCAGCAGCTGGCCCATACTGGATTTCATACTCGCCACATTATCCTTCATGCTGGTGGGGGGGGTTCAAAGTTCGGAACTCTCAAACGAGCCAGCCCCACTCACTTACTCACTCACTCACACTCACTCACTCACTCACTCACTCACACTCACTCACTCACTCACATTCACTCACTCACACTCACTCACACTCGCTCACATTCACTCACTCACTCGCTCGCACTCACACTCCCTCACTCACATTCACTCACTCACACTCACTCACTCACTCACTCACGTGCGGATGGTATCAGTAGCGCTGATGAACTTGCTGTAGTTCTCGTAAACCAGCATCTGCATGTCACTGTCCAGGTTCTTGATTTCTGCGGCCCATGACACGTGCTTCTGCAGCAAATCATCCAGCTTGGCTTGTCGGATCTGAGTGGGTGAGGGGACAAACACCAGGCAAGCGGGAATGACAAGGGAGGAAAAAGATATCACTGCAGCAGCAGCCGCAGCAGCAGCCGCAGCCGCAGCCGCAGCGGCAGGGGCATCTGCATGTCGCTGTTCAGGTTCTTTATCTCTGCGTCCCATGACACGTGCTTCTGTAGCAAATCATCCAGCTTGGCTTGTCGGATCTGAGTGGGTGAGGGGACAAACACCAGGCAAGCGGGAATGACAAGGGAGGAAAAAGATATCACTGCAGCAGCAGCCGCAGCAGCAGCCGCAGCCGCAGCCGCAGCGGCAGGGGCATCTGCATGTCGCTGTTCAGGTTCTTTATCTCTGCGTCCCATGACACGTGCTTCTGTAGCAAATCATCCAGCTTGGCTTGCCGGATCTGAGAGGGGGTTTGAAAGCCGTGGAGGGAGGGAATGCATGAGCGAGCAACGGAGAAGGGAGATGTCACTCCAGCAGCAGCAAACACAGCGGCAGGGGCATCTGCATGTCGCTGTCCAGGTTCTTTATCTCTGCTGCCCATGACACGTGCTTCTGCAGCAGATCATCTAGCTTGGCTTGCTGGATCTGAGAGGTGGTATATCAGAGAGACATGGGAAGAGAGAATCTGAGCGAAGAAGAGAGATGAAAGCAGCCTTGGCAAACTCGTCGGACGTACTACGTGCTGTGCTTCTGCAGCAAATCGATCCGCTTGGCTTCCCGGACCTGAGTGGGAAGATGGAATTCGTCGGAGGAATGTATGTAAGAAAGGAGGGGATCAATGAGCGGACACGAGAGAAGGAAGATTATCACAGCTCTCGTACGTTCCGCTGCTATTGACGCACCAAGTTTGCTACAAACGAGTCCGCGTCAAACGCTCGCGAATTGATGTCGTCGCGACCCCCCGAACTTCCCGCCGCCGATCCCGACGCGTCTTCCGCTCCCGGTGCTCCACCCCCGTGCCCGTAATACCCTTCTAATAGGCTCTTAACGCGCCTCGCGCGGTCCTCCGGGGCGCCGCCACCATTCCCGCCGGAAATTCCGCGAGAAGTTGGGCCGAGGGCGGGAGAGAAGCGGCCACCAGCTGATGAAATCGAATCTCCCGAAGCGCCGGTTACTGACGTGTAACGCACGCCGCGACCCGCGGGAGCGTCCATTGGGATCAACGCGCCTGGAACGAGCCGCTCAGGCGCAACGGGAAACAGGAACTGAACACGCGGCGACTTTTGAGTCGACTCAAAAGTCACTTCAGGCGCAATGGAAAACGAGAACCAAAGACGCGGCACGCCACAGCGGTGAGCTTGAAAGCTTCTTGGTTAGATTTCAGGTATAGCCTCTATGTAGGCCTAAATTAGCAAACCTTTTAAACCTAAATACACTTGTTTCAGTTCTTCTATAATGGGGTTCAATATGTGCAGTTTGGAGGCAGCATAGAGCGTTAATTTTTTTCTCATTCAAACCATGGATCAGCATAATTATTATGTCCTCTACCACTCATACTATAGTAGCCTCCGATTTGTCCATCCTCAACCCAACATGTTCTTTCTTTCACGGTACCGGTACTGTATCTAGCATGGAGCTGAATGATGCGAACCATATTGTGTAGCTATACATACAAACCATACACAATACTAACCTAAACCATACACAATACTTTGTAATCGACGAACAAAATGCCAAAAGGCAGGTTATACGTAACATACTAATAACAGCGTTGTTAGAGGTTCAGTCGTTACAGCATCATAATGACCTCCACTTCTTTGGAGTTGAGTGGCTCCGATTCGACATTAGACTGCTTATATCGAAGCATGCAGAACCCGACTTGGTCCCAGGCGAAATCAATAGCATAAGCTAGAGTGAAGAGACCAATCATAACTGCGAATGCAATGTAATACCACTGCATACAATCCAGTATAGGATGAAAGGGGGGAGAATGAGAGAAGTGGAGGGCGGAGGGGGAGGAGAGGGGGGCGGGGCGTGAGCCAAGAAAGGTTGTAACTTGTGGCCAAGGGCAGAGATGCAGCTTTCTTCTTACTACGAAAGAACGACAAGAAGAAAATGGTTGCTAGACTCACATCAAAGCTGTATGCAATGAGGTGGTTTTTGAGGCGCCTCAAAAACCAGAAAATGGTAGCTAGACTCGCATCAAGGCTGTAGCCAAATTGGCTGCAGGGTTGAGCTTGCAAGGTCGAGCCCAAGAAACATGTTGCTCCAAGCCATTGCCATAATCAGGATTCACAGCCACACACCATAGCCACACACCATAGCCACAGCCACACACCACAGCCACACACCATAGCCACAGCCACACACCACAGCCACACACCATAGCCACAGCCACACACCATAGCCACAGCCACACACCATAGCCACAGCCACACACCACAGCCACAGCCACACACCATAGCCACAGCCACACACCATAGCCACAGCCACACACCATAGCCACAGCCACACACCACAGCCACAGCCACACACCATAGCCACACACCATAGCCACAGCCACACACCATAGCCACAGCCACACACCATAGCCACAGCCACACACCATAGCCACAGCCACACACCATAGCCACAGCCACACACCATAGCCACAGCCACACACCATAGCCACAGCCACACACCATAGCCACAGCCACACACCATAGCCACAGCCACACACCATAGCCACAGCCACACACCATAGCCACAGCCACACACCATAGCCACAGCCACACACCATAGCCACAGCCACACACCATAGCCACAGCCACACACCATAGCCACAGCCACACACCATAGCCACAGCCACACACCATAGCCACAGCCACACACCATAGCCACAGCCACACACCATAGCCACAGCCACACACCATAGCCACAGCCACACACCATAGCCACAGCCACACACCATAGCCACAGCCACACACCATAGCCACAGCCACACACCATAGCCACAGTCACACACCATAGCCACAGCCACACACCATGCATGCAGCAACTCACCTCAAGGTTGTAACCAAATCTGCTGCTTGCGAGGTCGAGCCCAAGGAACATGTTGCTCCAAGCCATTCAATGAGTAGACCCACAAACCGAATCTCACACAGAACAAAAAAGGGGGTTGCGAGACTCACTTCAAGGTTGTAGCCGAATCTGCTGCTTGCGAGGTCAAGCCCAAGGAACATGTTGCTCCAAGCCATTGCCACAATCGCCACTCCCACCACCCAATGCAGCGCGAACCAATAGCGTCGCGACACGTGGCCCTTGACAGGCCTCAGCTGTCCAATGATTGGCTGGAGGAAGATCAGCAGCAGCACGGCCAATCCCAGCCTGCCATGTGTCGACTGCAGGGAGCTCGATCCTTTTTGGACAAACGCCATGATGATTCCGACCAATGAGAGCGTGACAGCGAGGAGCATGATCCACTTGTGGGCCTCGAATGCATGTGCCTTGGAGATCCAAGGCTTTCCCCTGCTTGCAGTAGTACCAGTACCAGGCATCCCACTCTCTGCTGCTGCTTCTCCTGCTGCTGCTCCTGCTGCTGCTGACGCTTTTCCTGCTTCCCCTGAGGCATACTGTGCTGCATCTCTAGCTGATTTCAAATGCATATGCTCAAAGTCCCTCTCTTCGTGCAACGTTGGCTGACCTGGAAACCCTAATCTCCCTCCCGTTGCCTCTGCTTCCCTTTCTTCTTCTGCCTGTGCAGCTGCTGCAGCAGGGTCTGAAGCAGGCTTATCAGAGAGGAATATCCTCGATATAAGCATGGCCGCAGGCATGAGAATGCCAAAAGCTACTGTGAGAATCCACCCGTGCGCAATATAGAGTGCTTCGGCGCTGCTGCTTGGTTCCTCAACTTCCACTGTGCCTGAAACAAAGTTGATTGCGACAGTGCCTCTGTTTGTAAGGCACACGGGTATGGAATGAAATTGGGGGTGGGGTGGGGTGGCAAAATGAGGGGGGATTGAAAAGAAGGGGAGGAGAGATGAGTAAGTGAGCTGGTTGCCACTGAAATTGGCTGCCGCAGAGAGTGTGTCAACTTCTAGAGAAGCCCCTGCTAGTGAAGTTGACTGTAACAGAGCCTCTGAGGTGGGTTAGGAAGGGGAGGAGAGATGAGTAAGTGAGCTGGTTGCCACTGAAATAGGCTGCCGCATAAAGTGTTTCAACAATTCTGCTTGATTCCTCAACCTCCACTGTGCCTGAAACAAAGTTGATTCTAACGGAGCCCCTGTTTGCTGATTCTAGCGAGTCACAGCACGAGAAGGCCCAGAGAATGCAAGCCCAGCCATACTATAGCCCTTCCTTCCTCCCCACTGCACAGCACTCACTCGTTGGGGCCGTGGTCGTGCAGTTGCTGCGAGTCGGAGCGAGAGAAGGCCCAGAGGAGCACACAGCGGTGCTCATCCCATAAAGTTCTATCCCCCCCCCCCCCCTCCCCCCCGTCTCCTTAAAGCCTGTGCACTCACTCGTTGGGGCCGTGGTCGTCCAGTTGCTGCGAGTCGGAGCGAGAGAAGGCCCAGAGCACGCTGGTGCTCACCCATGCTAGCATGTCACTCACTTTTCGAACACAGAACGGATATGCCCCCCCTTTTAACTTGGCCCACTCACTCATTTGGCCCGTGGTCGTCCAGTTGCTGCGAGTCAGAGCGAGAGAAGGCCCAGAGCACGCTGGTGGCGCCGCGGCTGCTGATGGGGACGGCTCCCACTGAGAGGGGTCGCTCGAAGCTGCAAGCGAATTGAGGATAGGGGAGAGGGGTTGTGGGTAGACGATACGGATGAAGGGGAGGAGAGACAAGGCCCAGGCGCCACTGCTGCGGATGGGGACCGGGGGGGGGGGGGGGGGGGGGGGGTGTGGAGGAGTGCGGGTCCAGAGGGCTTGTTCGAAGCTGCAGGGAAAAGAATGGAGGATGGGGAATAGCGGGTGAAGGAGGGGGGAGAGAGGGGGAGGGGGGGTGCGGCCCCAGAAGGCTCGTTCAAAGCTGCGGGGAATGGATGGAGGATGGGGGAATAGCAGGTGAAGGAGGCGAGGAGAGTCCGGTCCAGAGGGCTGTTCAAAGCTGCATGGGGGATAGCGGGAAATGGGGAGGAGTGGGAGAAGAAGAGGATAAAGGGATAACGGGGGAAAGGGGCAGCAATGTGGGGTTTGGAAGGAAGGGATGCTCGAACCCTTGAATTTGAGGTTCAGAGGATGCTAACACCCCATAAAGACCGAAAGGAAGATGGGTGGGAGGGTATTGGGTACAGTACAGATGGCGACAGGGGTGAGGGAAGGGATAGAGAGATGTGGGAAAGGGAAAGAGGTGGGGAAATGGATTGGAGAAGAAAGGTCTAAGATTCGACATGGCGAGTGCTGAAAAGGCTGACAAAGATGGCGCTGCTGGTGGTAAGAGGGAGGGAAAATGTAAGGTGGGGAGAAAGGGGGTGAAACAAGATAAAGGGGGCGAGACAAGGAAGAGGATGAAGAAGAGACAAAATCTATGGGCGATCATGGCAGGAATGGGTTCTGAACCCATGCCCTTTCGGACCAAGACCTGAAACTGGCGCCTTAGACCAACACGGCCATCCTGACACATCTGACATGTGGATCACGCAGCCTACTTATGAAGTTGTATTTCCGTGATTGTGCTCATATATTATTGTGCAGAAGAGGAGTCAAGAGAGGGTTTAGGGGAAAAAAAAAATCCGACCGCTCAGGCTGGATAAGGAAATTTAAAAAACGCTCGACACTTACGTGATGGTGGTTCTCCCATTCGCTGTGGTGGCCGATGTGTTGGTGAGCTCAAATGATGACGTCAGCGCCACGTCAGACAGGCCATACCCGCTGAGGTGGTATGCTCCCACCGCCGCCCCATTGGCGAGAGTGCCACGTGGCAGATTCCCAATGGCTGCATCAGCGGGGTACATCTTGCCGCTGCTGGACCATCCAACTGCCACCCAACCAGACGTCGCCACGTCAGCAGCCATTGCTATTGTATCAGCCCCAGTTTTCCAGTGAAGGATGAAACTGGAAAGGGGGGAAGGGACATAGGACAGGGGGGTGGAAGAGAGCGGATGTGAAATTTGTTACCCGGGTTTCCAGTGGAGGATGAAACAGGAAGGGAGAAAGGAGGTGGGGGGAGAAATGTGATTAGGGAGTCGAAGGGTGGAACAGGGGGATGACAACAGTCACTTCTCAGAGGTATTTAAGTATGAAAAGTCAGAGAAGTCAGCGGGTGTGTGGGTAATGAAGGGCGCAATCAGGAGTCACCCTCGACTCAAAGACACCCTCTCTCTGAGAGACATTTTATATCAAAAGTCACTCAGAGGGTGTGGGCTCACTCAGAGGGTGTGGGCTCACTCTCCTTACTCCCGCCCCGCCCCTCTCAACAACATCCCTGCCCCACTCTCTCAACTTTTACCGCTCACTCTTCCCCGTCCTCACCCGCTCCCCCCCCCTCTCTACTCACTCAATGTCTTAGTCAAATGGAACACACATATATGCACTTTGACGCCTCACATGAAATGCATGCAATGCAATTCATTGCGAGATAAATGCATTGCATTGCAACGAAGTCTTCCTTGCACTCACTCATTGCATCTAATACAGTTCATACCATCTGCACTCACTCTCTCCCTTGTTCCCCGTCCCCACTCACTTGTTGCCTTTAAGTCGAATGGAGGACGCATAGTCAGGCCGGTTCAACGGCTCACATGCCACCCTGCTCCTTGCCATTGCCACTCACGCCCCCCCCATCCGCACTGACTCGTTGCCTTTGAGTCGAATGGAGCACGCATAGTCAGGCAGGGGCGACGGCTCACATGCCACCCTGCCCCTGCCACCGCCACTCACTTTCCCCTAACCCACTCACTTTCCCCTAACCCACTCTCTTTCCCCTAACCCACTCACTTTCCCCTGACCCACTCACTCTCTTCTTATTTACTCACTCGTTGCCTTTGAGTCGAATGGAGCATGCATAACCAGGCAGGGGTGACGGCTCACATGCCACACTGCTCCTGCTCCTGTCCCTGCCCCTGCCACTCACTCTGCTCTTCACTCTTCCCCATCCCACTCACTCGTTGCCTTGAAGTTGAATGGAGCACGCATAGCCAGGCAGGGGTGACGGCTCACATGCCACGTTGCCCCTGCCACTGCCGCTGCCACTGTCACTGTCAGAAGAGACTGCTGACGTGGATGCCAATGACTGGTTCCCTCCATTTTCCTCCTTATGAGCATCATCGTCATCATCACCATCATTATCCACCTCCCCAAACCTATCATCATATTGATCCGCATCATCATCATCCCCACTCTCAACGTCTTCCTTATCACCATCACCATCACCATCACCATTTGAGGAGCCATTACCCTCCTTCCCGTATCTCTCATCCTCATCCTCATCATCATCATCATCATCATCATCATCATCGTTATCCCCATCATTATCCCCATCCTCTCCCCTCTTGATATCATCATTATCATTACCATCATCCATAACATCATTCCCATCATCATCATCTTTATCATTATGCCTCTCCTTCCATCGCCCATAATCCTTCTCGTCCCCCTCCTCGTTATCATCACCACCATCATCACCCCCCCTCTCAAAATCACCCTCATCCCTGTCATCATTATCATATGCATCATCATCATCATCATCATCATCATCATCTCCACCACCCATGCCAGCATCATTGTCACCAATGCCACCACCACCACCACCTCCTCCTCCTTGTGAGCTGGAAGGTGCAGACGCACATGAGAAGTCCACATTCATTGAACCTCTGAGTAACAGGATGGAAGGGACGGAAAGAAACGTTTGAGTGGGATTAGGTTTCTCATTTATCACCTACTGAGCTAGAGGGTGCAGCCGCACAGGAGAAGTCCATATTCATCGAACCTCACTCAACCACTGACTCACAAACTCAATCACTGACCACAGGGTTCACTCACTCACAAAATCTCTCACTCACTCACTCACTCATTCAAACTCACTTACAAACTCTCTCACTCACTCACTCAACCACCGACTCCCTCACTCACGCGTTGTTGCTATGGAAGGCCAGCTCAGTCGATCCAGACTCACCAGCATTGGCTCCTCACACATACGTCTCTCACTCACCCACTCTCTCCCTCACTCACTCAAACTCACTCACTTGCTCCCTTACTCACGCGTTGTCGCCATGAAAAGCCAGCTCAATCGATCCAGACTCAGAGAAAGCCCAGATGAGGTTGCTGCTGCCACTGAAAGCCACCATCATAGGTTCCCTCACTCACTCACTCACTCACTCTCACTCACTCACTCAACCACTCCCTCACTCAATCACTGACTCCTTCACTCACGCGTTGTCGCCATGGAAGGCCAGCTCAGTCGATCCAGACTCAGAGAAAGCCCAGATGAGGCTGCTGCTGCCGCTGAAACTCACTGGAACCGTCCCTCCATCCCCTCGGAAACGAGAGAACCTGCAGAGAGGAGAGAGAGTGGGACGGAGGAGAGAGGCGGGACGGGAGGGATAAGGGCCAGATGCTGCTGCTGCTGCTGCTGCCACTGAAACTCACTGGTACCGCCACTCCCGTCTCCCCATTGATCGGGAGAACCTGCAGGCAGAAGAAGGGTGGCTCGAGGGGGGGAGTTGAGGAGGAGAGAGCAAGTGGGAAGGGGGCAAAAAACTCAAATGCTGCTGCAGCTGCCATTACTTTCGGTACGCTCCTCTACTCCGGGATCTCCCTTGCTTTCTCATTTTGGATTCTTCCTGCCGTTACTTTTGACAGCCCCCTCTCCCAACTCTCTGACCTCACTTGTCAAAAAACAAGTGGATTCTTCCTGGCGTTGTTTTCTTACCTTATGATTGTCCCGCCATTACTTCCCCCTGACAGCACAGGCCTTCCAATCTTGAACCTATCAGAAGGCGCCACGTCAGACCGGCTGTATCCGGAGATCCGATACGCGCGCACGCTGCTTCCCGGAAGGTTCCCAATCACGCAATCCGCGGGGTACATACGGCCACGGTTTGCCGTCCAGCCGACGGAGAACCAGCCGGACTCGGCCCCACTGGCGGGTTTGGCTTCTAGTGCGAACTGCAAGTGCGAGGCGTTGCGCGCCCAGTGCAGCACGAGACTGGAGGAGACACGGGAAAGAGGCGCGGTGCAAGGGGTGGGGGTTAGCGAATGAACGACGGCCAGTTTCTGGGAGAACCAGCCGGACTCGGCCCCACTGGCCGGTTTGGCTTCTAGTCCGAACTGCAAGTGCGGGGCGTTGCGCGCCCAGTGCAGCACGAGACTGGAGGAGACACGGGAAAGAGGCGTGGTGCAAGGGGTGGGGGTTAGCGAATGAACGACGGCCAGTTTCTGGGAGAACCAGCCGGACTCGGCCCCACTGGCCGGTTTGGCTTCTAGTGCGAGCTGCAGATGAGAGGCGTTGCGCGCCCAGTGCAGCACGAGACTGGGGGCGGGGCGGGTGGGGGGAGGCGGGAGAGCGGAGAGGGGGAGGGAGAGGGGGAAGGGCGGAGGAAGAGAGCCGAAGACGGGGCTTAGATGAGCACGTTCCGCTCACCCACTTCGGCTCATTTCTTTCAACAATGCTTCTTCTACTCAACATTCGGATGTGCACGTTACAGGAAATATATTTTTCACATTACACGGATAAGCACATTTAGATCACGCAGTGCACTCAGTCATGTCCACTCACCCGTTTCCACGCATACATTTGCACCCACATGCATTCCCACGCACCCATTTCGACCCATTTCGACCCATTTCCACTCACCCGTTTCCCGATAGGTCAACGGAATTGGTGAACCCGCGCAGGGAAGACGGCTCGCATGGCGCGCCGCCGTAAGCCACGATCGCGCCGACCAACAGGAGAAGAGCGACACGTGTCAGCCGCGCGTCGAAGACGCGTGTCTTCGGAAACATTTCGACAAGCACTCGATTTAACGCGGATTGCTCGAAAAGTCTCTGATGTGCGTAACTGGCAAGGTCTGTGGTACTTCTTGGTACCTATGGCAAGGTCTGTGGTACTTCTTGGTACCTATGGCAAGGTCTGTGGTACTTCTTGGTACCTATGTTCGTGATTGCAACATTCGAAACTTCGAAAGGGACTTCTACCCCCAGTAGAACGGCCTATTATTAACACGTGTATGACGCGCTTCGACGTCTTGCGGCCCGCCGGCCTTTGCCGTTTTATTCGCCGGTTCCGAGAAAGCAGAACGCGCTCCTAGCTTGCGTGAACGAAATAACTAACCTGCTGGAACCACCAGCTAGAGACACTCAGGAAACTGCGACAGTGGTTTATTCCGAAACTCCACTGTACTGTCAGCTCGCTAATTACCGATGAGTTTCAAGCTGCAGTTCAAGACTCAAGAGTCGAGAGCTGAGACTGGAGTAACAAAAGAGAATAGCAGCACCAGCTTTCCCCCTTTCCCCTCCTCGCCGGCCATGAGCACGACATTGCGCTGCGGTTTGCCGCGTGGATACGTAGTACTACAGTCCGAACCTGCAGATGTCAAGAAGGCTACATTTTGAATTTTGCAAATGCTTTTTCGTGATTTTCGTGAAGCACTTGAAAGTCACTGCAGCGTTCTCTGAGGCGCGAACAATTTCTGACTGAGAACGTGATTTGTGCTATCAGCACATGCGCTTCGGGATCACATTACGATAAGTATTCTGCTGATTAGGTCTACACCTAATCATTGTTCTGTATAACGAAGATACCGTTACTAAGGAAAACTCTGTTTCGCTGCTGTCGGGAGGCATCCTGAATCACCGCTTGACCCCAACTGCCAATCAGCTGCTGCATCTGACGTTTTTCTGACTATGGCATTGGCTTCCCAAACGCCGTGTCTCACAAGCCAACCAAAATGGGCCAACATCACAAACATGCAAATTAGTGTGGCGACCCTAGGCGATGGTATGCAAAACCGTCGATACCGCAGTTCTGCTGCGCAAGTTTGTCTGGTAACGCCACTGTGTAACACTGTGTGACAGCTGACGCAGCACAAAAAAGGCAGAAATATGCGATAGCGTTATTTATTTCGAATATGTTCGGTTCTTACCGCGCCCCGTCTGGCGCCTAAAAACGATTCCATCGGACAAAACATTTCCGCTAAATTGCACGATACATTTAACGGAGAATTCTGTTGGAATGAAAGTATACGGGAACCATTTTGTAACACTAGATTGCACCCAACATTTTCGTACCTGAAACTGTTAGGGCATGGCATAAAACAAAATAAAACCCCCAGGGACCTGGACGCAAATCCGGAGGGATCAACCCTAAACACAAGAAAGGGCATTGTTTTTAGGGTTGATGCCTCCCTGAGTCGATCCCTGTCCGATTGGGTTATATTCTTTTCTTGGGTCAGGTGTAGTGCACAGAGTTGTTCATCTGGCAGAAACAGTCGCCCGAAGAAATCGTAGTTCAGCGCAAAGATAAGCGCGGTAGGGATCAAAACGTTGTTTTAAAACGAACACGCGACTAGGGCAATATTTTAATAACTCTATAAGTGGGGTATCGACGGTTTTGCATACCAATGCATAGGGTTACCACACTAATCTGCATGTCTATGATGTTGGCCCCAACCAAAATTGTAAGATGGGTTTGGCGGGAACCAAGCTGTGAGGTGACCGACAGATACATCGCATCTACCTGGTGTGGTGTGGAGGACTCGAAGGTGCTTCTTTCCTCCCCCTCGTTATTGTCATGTCTGTGGGACCAATGGGGCCTTGTGCAAGTCAACTGAGCGCAATGCGGCAATAAAGGATACCGCACCAAACAATGCTCTCTTTGGCTGCACGATGTTTATCACCTCACCCAACCCAACCGAAACCACGCATCACAACATCAAATTGGGTTTTCTTGATCCAAGCGAGGCTGAGGACGCGGTTAAAGTAGACGATCGATGTGCGGATCGGGTCCTTATTAACTAAGTTGTAACCAAGCTACAGTACACTTTCTGGCCAAAATGTCTGTACAGTGTGAGAGTGCGAGTGATCACTGTTCGCGGGAAATCTGTCAATTTTCAGCCGCGATCGTTACAACGTCGCGGTCGCCACGTTTCGCCAAACGATCTGCCCATTCGATTGTGGGGATCATCGATATATGCAGACGATCCTGCGATATTTGTACTTTCAACGCGTCCTGAGACTGTCAGACACGAGAGGAGCTTGTTCAAGTAGCATTTGGGGTAGCAAGCTTGAGCGGGCTTGTTGGGGATCAGCAGTGACATTGCTGGAGACGAGACGAGAGGACTGGCCAGCAAGGTCGTCCTGTGCTGGTGCCATAGTGCTGGTAGCCTTGTCTTCCATCTCCTCTTAATCAAGGAGTTGGGAACAATGGCTGCTGCAGGGTGGCTAGATGTCACCAGTAAGTAGTACGGCATTGACGATCATCGTTTGAGTGCCAAGAATGTTAGTCTGACTGTTGTCTGCGACGCTGACTTGACCTAGCTGTGCCTGACTGTCACATTGATGACTGCAAGATTTCTTGCCGATGCTTCTTTCTTCTCAGAAATGTGTCACCCTGATCGGCTGTTCGTTACTATGACGATTTTATTACCCTGATTGGGTGTGCGTATTTTGTATGCAGTAATTGGTGCGAGGGATCTCAAGGACACGGAGATCTTTGGCATGCAAGATCCGTACGCGGTTCTGATCTACGGTCAACAGACTCACCGCACCAAGACTCACAAAGGTGACGACCTAAACACCGAACATTGTTGTGTTGTCTTTGTCTCCATTTTTATTTTCTACATGTTTATTTTCCCCGCTGTTACAGAGACCTTACTAATGCTGGTATTTCAGAAAATTGTGTCATTGTGAACTTTCGTCAACACCTTTCAGCGTTGAATTTAGGCTAACTAATGCCATACATCCGGCGAATTCTCTTCGCCGTCTTTCTTACACGTGAACACGACCAACTTCGAACACGACCTTTCAGCAATCGCGTATTTTTAATCATGTCCTCTACATAATTTTCGTGTCCATTGCTTGTTTACCCGACGGACACACGTCGCCGGTGTGGAACACGACCTACCAGCTGTTGTCTATTCTTCATCATATTTACCTCTGCATCATTTTCCTGTCCGTTTCTTTTTTTCTAGACGGACACACGTCGCCGGTGTGGAACACGACCTTCCGCCTGAACGTTATCCATGGCGTCGACGAGGCCCAACTCGCAGTCTGGAACGAAAACAGGAAGGCGGATGACAAGATTGGGACTTGCAAGTAAGCTTCCCTCTCAGCCAGTAGTTTTGTTTTGCGTTACCCGCACTTGCCCGTTTTCGAATTGTTATCCCCATTATATTCTAATCCGGATGGATGACGACAAGGTTGGAACATGCGGGTACGCATTTTTCTGCCAGCTCAGTCCAGTGATGTTGTTTACCGGAACTAAAGTGTAAAAGATAGTCAGCCGTTTTACCACTTGTTTTTAGGAACCAAAGCGAGTGATGAGTAAGCATAGGCCTGCGTAAGAAAGTTCAAGTTTTATTTCTTACTAATTTCCGTCCGTGACATGACATTCTCAGGGTGAATATCCGACAGGCCTTCAGCCTTCCCGTGTGGGACACGTGGCATCCTCTCTTCACTCCCAAGGGCAGGTAAGCTTTCTAGCATTTCCACCTCAGTTTCGAAGCATCCGAGTTTGTAACACCCATTCAGACAGGAAAGAAGAAGAAACACTCGCCTTCTCTTAGCTCTTTATACCAAAAGGTTCTTCTGCCATACACATCCAGATGTCAGGGATTGAACTTGCTGTTTTCTGGCCTTTTGTTTGTTTCTTCAATCTCCCTTTCCTCCATTCTACTGGTGCAAATGTTTTCCAATTCTGCGCGCACTTCTTGCGACTGCAGGCAGCAGGGGAGTCTTCGTCTCGCTCTAAAGTACTACCCGGTATGCTCACCTCCGTATCCACTTGCCCATCGTTTCTGTCGCTTTCACTACCTCGTGCTGCCACTCGTCCCCCTCTTGATTCGTGCTGGCTTGCTTCCCCTTCTCCTTTTCTGCCCTGTTCGGACGACGTGTATGTAAGTTGCCAAAGAACCGGGAGCGTTCCAAGCGTTTTATTCCGGTGATCGTTTAAATCAACTCGGGAACTGTGGTCCTCATTTACGTGTTGCTTGTTGCACATGTTTTCCTGGAACCCATAGGTTCTTTCAGTAACATTCTGTGACCCGTCACTTGCCTGTCTCCCTCTTCCCCTTCCCCCTTTCCGCCACCCATCTCAGCCTCTCGGTGCACCTGGCGCCCCCGCCGCCGCAGCAGCAGCAGGAGCAGCAGCTGCTTCCCACTCCGCCCAACCCCCCCACGGATACCCCCAGCAGCACGCCCCTCCCCCGGGCGGCCACGCCCCTCCCCCTGGCGGCCATGCCCCCCCGCCATCTGGTTACCCTGGTTACCCGGCCCAAGGCGGTTACCCTGGCGCTGCCCCCGCGCCCTATGGCGCTCCTCCGCCTGGCGGGCATGTCCCCGCGCCCTATGGCGCTCCCCCCCACGGTGGACAACCCCCTGCGCCCTATGGCGCCCCTCCTCAAGGCTACCCGCCTGCTGGGCATGCGCCCGCCCCCTATGGCGCTCCCCCTCCCCACGGTTACCCTCCCCAGGGTTACCCGCCACAGGGTTACCCTGGTTATGGTGCTCCTCCTCCCGCCCATGGGCATGCGCCTCCTCATGTGCATCATGCTCCTAAGCCGGCTGTGGTGGTGGTGCATGGCCATGGTGAGTTGGGAGGAGTGAGTTTAGTGCATATGGGAAGGGCAGAGGTGAAGGGTTGGGGGCAGAGGGGAAGGGCAGGGGGCAGAGGGGAAGGGCTGGGGGAGAGGGGAAGGGCAAGGGGAAGAGGGGAAGGGCTGGGGGCAGAGGTGAAGGACCTAGGCTCTCTTTCCCTCTTCCGTATGCATGTGTGGATTCAAGTGTGCACAAAATCTCACAACATCCTGCTCCCAACCCCCTCACCACTGCCCTCGTTCCCTGTACTTCCATCATTCTTTAAGTCACTTCCAGAACCTTTTTGTAGTTCATGTATATTTCTCACTGTGTATTAATCAACCTTTCCCTTCCCTTTTTGCCCAATTCTCACAGGCCACCACCACCATCACAAGCGCAAGTTCAAGGGCTTCATTGGTAAGCGGAAGGGGTTCTTTGGTAAGAGAAAGGGGTTCTTGGGGAAGCGCAAGGGCTTTTTCGGAGGCAAGGGCTTTTTCTAACCTTGGCTTGACAAGGATGCAAACTATTCCAAAACAATGTATGGTACAGTAGTAAAATTATGCCATGTTACGTCAATGCGCAGGTGGTAGGTGTAATTCATTGGCACTGTTTCTAGTAGAATCGTGTGCACAGTACTGCATCAGAATATGCATGTTTGTTACTGAATAATCTAAAACACGAGGGCAAGCCAGTATAAATACGTTTTCGGGGAGGAACCTTAATATGATGCCAGACCTTTTGTGTTTGAAGATAGCGTTTGTGACACGGGAAATTTTGGCTGATCCTTTACCTCTCTGAAGTTGGATTCCATCAAGTTGATATTGCCCAGTTAGGAATATTGATTGTACGAACAGTAGGCTAGCTTGAAGAACCACCCTGTAGTTTCACTATATGCACACGGACACGTTCTCACACACACACACACACACACACACACACACACACACACATACACACACACACACACACACACATGCAAACACTAACAATGGGCAACAACTAGTGGCGGCATCAATATCTGGGGGAAGGAAGAGTGCTAGCTTGCTCTTCACAATGGGGTGAAGATCAGACAGATGTGCACTGTCAAAGGTTGGGAGGGAAGGACCACTGCCAGCACAGAACCTTCACATTGCCAGCACCTTGCAGCAAGCCAAGGTTGCGAATGTACGGTAAGGCTCTACTGCGCTGTACAACCCTGTGCTGCCGCTTTCAGTTGCTGTGGAGGACAATTCAGCCCTGTGATCATGGAAAGGATTTTTGCCATACCTTGGACCTACGGTACCGGTAAGCGATCAGCAGTCTGAAGGTCCGACCCAATGAGGCTTGCTGTGCAGTGTAAGGTTGGGAGTGGGCTTTGAGCAGTAAACCGCCGCCTGATCACGGGCTTTAAATGTAGCGGCAGTGTGGTTGTGTACGGTCAGCGACTGCTGAGTGGACTGCTTGGGCTTTAAACAGGATGGTGGGGCGTGGGCTTCAAAGAGTGCGGTCCAGTGCGGACATTGGACAGTGCGGTAAGGGTCTCATGTATGGAGTGCCGCCATGACTGCGGTGATGGGAAGTGCACGGTGTGGACCAATTATGGGCTCTAAACAGTGAGGAACAGTGCAGCCATGACTGCTGAACAAACTGCAGCCATACCCGTGCAGCTTGGGGTTTACAGAGGGCAGCACCATGCGATCCAGTGCGGTTGACAGTGGGCTTTATACAGTGCGGTACAGGGCACAAGTGTACAGTGCTGCCATGATTGCCGAGCAGAGCGCAGCCACGCCCGACGGGGAGGGCTCCTTTCGCAGAAAGCAGCGTTCAGCTGCAAGCATGGAGGGAAGCAGGGATGCACGGGGTGAGATTGGGGGTTAAGCCCATATGAGGATGGGAACAGTGGGAGCAATGGGGGCAGGAGCAGAGTGAACCGATCAGAGTGCAGGGGAAGGCTCCTTGTGTGGGGAGTTGGGCTCAAGTGCGAGCAGGCAGGGAGGGAGAGAGACACAGGGGGACTAGTAAGCCGAACAGACTGCAGCCACGTCATCCAAAGTGTCACGGCCTAGCACACACTGTTTCGCTTTTGAGACGTTTTGCTTTTGAAAGATGTTGCAGATTGCAGCCACGTCTTATCCATTATCAGTTGCTGTTGTTTCTCCCCGTTTACAGTTTTACTCTTGCTTCTCGTTCTAGTTCCCTTCTGTTTTTTTGCTTTGTTGTCATTCACTCGTCTGACCGCCTAACAAGCACATGGTAGTTACCTCACACACTCACCCAAGCACAACGCACATAGTGACACCTCACCACACCGTACCACTCCAAACCACTCCGCCACTCACCTGACCACACAGAAACGCCAACGGATGCCCCAAGGCCCAGCACGTAAGAGTCGAACCCGTACCGCGTTCTGCAGACGAGGCAAAAGAAGTGGTGAAAGCAGAAGGATGAGACAAAAGGAAGAGACCAGTGCGCCATCAAGTTTATCCCACGAAGCTGTTGATTATTTTCCCTCCGTATTGTTAACTTTTTGGTGGGTAGATATAATCAAACTAGTTATGTTTTTGTAGTGGGCGAAAAGGGGCGAGTGGAACGTACGAGTTCAGGCGAAGGGCCGAAGCGATGAGCAACGAGGAGAGCCCGGCAGCCGTGCGAAGGAAATCCGGCGGCAGAACCTTCTCCTTCAAGCCTATAACGATACAGTAGCACGCGTGTAACGCGGCGAACGCCAGGCTGAGAAACGGCAGCGCGTCAATCTGATTGGCGCTCCGCCGGTTCCCCTCATCGCCGTCGTCTCCGCCGTCTCCCCCGCCGTCGCCGCCTTTCCCGTCGTCATCGTCCCCGCCTCTTCCGCCGCTGTCGCCGCCGCCGCCGCCAGCTTGTTCTTTGAAGATTCTTTCTTGTAAGCTTTTCATGGTTTGTCGCTCCATCATGGCATTGGCCCACGGCCCGTATCGGGTATCGAAGAAGCTTGAAGCAGGGTTGGATGAGGTCCCATGGGACGGAGTTGAGATATGTGGATGGTGAGGTAGGAGAATGTCCGGGTCTCCCTCGTCGGTTCGGAAGCACGTTGGGGTTCCGAAACTGTGGGGAGCACCGGTGGTTCGAAGTGCGATGTTGACTCGCTGTCGTGGTTGAAAAGTACGGAAATGATACGATTGTGATTGCAGCAGCAATAGACTCGTGTCGGACTGCTGCTCAGCTGAGGAGTTAGAGAGGAAGGAAGTGGACGAGTAGAGGGAGTGTACGGTCGGTTGAGCGTTGCTTCCCGAGTTGTTGATTGCAGGAGCCGGGACGACTGGGGAAGAGTGTCTACCGATTAACCCGCAGTCGGTTGTCTTGGAGTGGGTTACAGTCGACGCGGTCACCACGGAGTGAGTCATGGACAAAGCCGTTGCCATTGCGTCGGGGTTAACTTATGTACACGGGAGTCAGGACTGGATTCGAATCAGGAATGTGCGCGTGGTCTCAAGCCTCGAATAATGGCTTCAGGCGCACGAAGGCTGCAGTTGAAAGAGAACCGTCAGAGAAGTTGCGGAATGAGTGAGCCAGATACAGAAGAGAATGCGCATGGCATGAGCATATTTAGGAGCTTCCGTGCTTTCCAGCTGGAGATTGCAGCCTTCCTGTTGTTCGCTTCCAGTTGCTCGCTTGCAGTTGTGAGCATGAATGTGCTCTGATGAAGAGACGTTCTTGTCGCCTCGTCACACTTCTGAAGAGCTGGACTTCAGAATGGTCAATATCGGAGAGTCTGATGACGAGTACAAGCTCTGAACTGCTCTGCTTGCCTGCTTTATCAGCTTTCAGAAGCACCGCGTCCGACAGTTTGTGAAGTCGTGCTTGTGCGACCCACAAAATCCAGCAGCGTCGGTTTGCAAGAGCAGCAACGAGCTGATTGAAGCACTGGGAACAACGACGGAAGAGCAAGGAAGAAACTCGTTTCAGCTGTTATCAGAATGCGTGCTACCTTCACAAGAATCTGCTTTATGGCGGTCGTTTGGGTTCATTGGACATTTCTCTCTTTCCAGCTGGAGAAAACGGACTCTAGTTCGGCTCAAATACCCAGCCCAACCAGTCTAACTATCAAACAAAACGTCCCAAAGCGCAATGGATCCTACTGTACCGTACAGGTGCGTCACGCCCTTGTACTATCTCCGTTGTTCCCATCGATGCAACAATTCCCTAGGCCAGGCTTCCGCCTTCTCCCACATTTCCCGTCCCAAACCGAAAACATTTCCCGAGCCAGCGTTGACAATGACGGGGGAATAAGGGAAGCTCGAACGTCAACTTCGAGAACTCGCCAAGCCACTGCCGAACCTGCCACATCTGTCAACAAGCGTCCTCGCACCTGCCCCCTAACCCCAATCGGGTCCCTCAACCCGCCACCTTAGCCTTCTGGGCCTTTCCGAGACAAAATCAAGCCAAGGGAGAACAACGATTGGCTAAAATTAGTGGTTCGTGCCGAGCTTAAATATCGGCGATTCGTATGGCTGATGAGCATTTCTTTCCGGTGTGGATGTACTTTGTCGGAGAACTTTTTTTTCATAATCCCATTCCATCCACTAAGCGGCAATGTTTCCAGCACGCGACAGGCAGGAAAGTTAATAGAAATGCTGTTCTGCAGGGATTTTCACACTCTTGACAGTACTTTCCCTAACTCCCCAATCTCTGGTTTCCTAGTCTGACTGGCGCCAGCGTGGAACTCAAGCTTGCTGACTGCCATTCCAGGAAAATGGTGGGAGATGCTGCCGTCAACGGGGAAGAAAAGCAACTCTGGGCCTTCATTCATGGGAGTGTGACGCTGGAACGCATGACACTGACGTGGAATCCGCAGAGAAGGCAGAACGGGGACAACGACGTGAAATCTCGCTTCCCGGAGTTAGACGAACAGCTGAATAGGTTCAATTATTCTATCCTATACTTCGACCAATATTTTCAACACTGGATTTTCATTTATGGACGGCCAATCACATATAACCACATCCATGCCGTGTTGAATTGACACTACCGGTACAGATCGAGTGTGCAAGGAGGGCCTTTCAGTAATCATATATACAACTCTCGGGTCATGCAAACAAGCACACCATGGATTGGCACCTGAATTTGCAATACTGGTCAGTCATCAGGGCTAACTTTAGTAAAATGACCCATCTGGCTTTAAGACCGGGTCCTGGCTCATTGTCTGATTGTCAGACGAAAGCTGTGACATTGTCTAGCTTTTCAGACGAATGCAAAGTTCTTGTCTGAAATTTCAGATGAAGATATATAGCTAGCTTAAAAAACAAGGAATGGTAAGTACCATCAACACACAGTGTTTAATCGTCCAGTCAGTAGAATCTGTTACTTGTGATAACTGGGGCTTCGGGTTTGAATCCAGTTGCCAGACTTTGCCAGGCAGGCACAGTCATCTTTCTGTTTTACTAAAGTTTTGCCTTCAGACGAGAAAAGACTCGATATCTGCAGTCTCAGACGAGCTGTATAAGGATGTCTTAGAATTCAGATAGATACAAAAACTTTGTCTTGAAAATCAGATGAGTTTAAACGACATGTCTAGGCCATCAGATGAACCATAAATAACGTGTATGAAATCCAGACAAACAGACAATAAATTTCTGATAACGTAGGCCCTGTCAGCCATCTTTCACCTCCAACTACCATTCACATTTATTTCCACGGGTTAAAATTCATGAGATTCCACACTCGTGAAGCAGCAAATGCACATTACAAGTTCTGCCGCTGCCTCTTGCTTTGCGAATCCAACCCTCTTTCTTCCTGCACCTTGCCACTCGCAGAATTGACATTTTCAGCGCTGGCATTTGCAGTGTCCACATTCGCAATGTCCACATTCGCAATGTCCACATTCGCAGTGCTCACATTCGCAGAGGTCCTTGATCCGGGTCTCGTGAGGAGAGTCAGCTAAAGTCCCTCCAAATCCTCACCCTCATACTGACTCACTCCAGTCTGCAAGGACGGGCCAGCATGATTGATTTGAGTCAGAGAATTCACAGCAGCCATTGCAGGAGCCACTTCAGTTTCCATTGCTCCTCTCCCGTTCCTGCTCCCACTCCCTCTCCCGCTCCCTCTCCCGCTCCCGCTTCCATTCCCTCCCCCAGTCCCTCTGCGAGTCTCTCCCCCCCTCCCTCTGCCTGTAGGTACATTAGTGTATACTCCAGTAGCTTCTTCGGTAGAAGCCCTACCAGTGTACACCTTATTAGCTTCCTCGTTAGAAGCCCTTTCGGAGGAGGCTGTTCTTAAATGGGGCGGAATTCCCATGGCTGCAGTATGAAGAGCCGTGGATAGAAATGTGGCGCGGGCACTTGCCATCCCCGTGCTCACAATAGCTGTTGATGGTGGTGCTCATAGAGGGTATATTGCAGAAAGAGGCATTAGCGAAGGAGGCGTGAAGAAAGGTGCTCTAAATGAAGGTGATTCTAACGAAGTTGGTTTCAGTGAAGGCAGGGCGTCTCGACGAGGCATTGCCCCAACGTACTGCAAGAGGCTCGGCTGCCCGCCTGTCAGGCTCGGGCGTTGGCCGAGGTTCGGACCGAGGCTAAGGCTTGGGTTGCGGCCCATGCTGGCGCCAAGGATTGGATTGCGTTCCAGTAGCTGCGGAATCGATAAAATAGCATCAGGAGAGGCAGTGGCAGTGGCACTGGCAGTGGCAGCAGAAGCAAAGGGTGAAACAGCAATAGCAGGAGTAGCAGGAGCAGCAGCAGAAGAAGGAGCAGCTGGATCAGCAGCAGAAGCAGGAGAGGCAGCAGTAGCGAAGGGTGAAGCAACAGTAGCAGCAGTAGCAGGAGCAGCAGCAGAAGGAGCAGCAAGAGTAGCAGGAGCAGCGGGAGCAGGAGCAGTAGAAGCATCAGCAGCAGCAGTGGAGACTCCACGCTGTGTTGCTTCCTTGAACCGAGACTGACCCCCACGAGCGGCAGCAACACTATCAACAGCAGGAGTGCTAATGCTAGCAACAGCACGAGCAGCAGCACTAACATCAACACTTGCAGCAGCACTAGCATTAGTAGCAGCATCAGCACTAGTACCAGCACTAGCAGCAGCAGCAGCACTACCACTGCTGGTGCCAGATATAGAAGGGAGATGCATAATGGTTGCCTTGAGCTTGGATGGGAAAGAAAGAGTGGGTTGGGATGGGAGAGTGGGGCGAGATTTGAAAGAACTTGCTTTGGCACTACCACCAGCACCCCCTATTTCTCAGTCAACTAGCTTCTCTGGACCTCCTTCACCTCCCCATCCCACCCCTCGCTTTTCCCTTCTCCTTTCTCTTCCCTCTCCTCCTCTCCCTTCCCTTCCCCCTTCCGCTTCCCCTTCCCCTTCCCTTCCCCCTCTCCCTCCCCTTCCCTCTCCTCCTCCCTCCCCTCCTCTATATACTCCTCTCATGCCTCCTCTCCCTCCTCCTGCTGGCCCTGCTTTAGCTGCTGCCGCTCCCGCCGCTGCTGCTGCCTCCCTTTTTCGAGACGTCCTTTTACGTTGCGCCCCGTGGCCCGTCATGTGTCCCCCAAGCGCCTGCGACGTGGGGAAGTTTTTGCCGCAGATAGGACAAGAATACTCGCCCGACCTCTGCCCCGGCATGCCCGGGAGATGGTCCAAGGGAAGCTGAGCTGGAGGGCGGGCGGCAGCACGAGGCGGGGCGTTGAAACCAGCACCAGATGAAACTGAAACGGTCCCACCACCAGCACCATCACCATCACCACCAGCAGCCATTAAACCTGCAGCAGTGAAACGTTGCTGGCAGGGAAGTAGCAGCCTTAGTAGGCTGGGAAAACGAGGATAGAGTGCTCTCTGAAGTTCTCTGGAAATTGCACTATGACTTCACAAATTTCACAGTACAATTTTATAGAGCACATTCAAATATCGAGTCGCACTCCCAAGTCGCAACTCTCTCTGAATTTCTCAATGGTAACCCAACCCCTTTGAAATGAACCTGCCGTGAAATTCAGAGAATTATTGCGGTACGGGATTGGACGGCGAGCTTGGTTACGGGGCTGTAATTTCGTCGGTGTTGTTGGCGAAGTCGGCGAGCGGTCAGAACTTCGGTGTTCTGCGTTTCGTAATTTTCGCGCGAGGGTTTGTGTTGGGCTGCGCGTCAGGACCTGGTCGCCCAGCTGCAGGTTGAGGCGTTTGACCAATACGAACAGTTGGTGAGGTGGCGCTTGACTTCCGCCCACCTGCAGTGTACTTGGCAGCATTCGGCTGCCACACTGTTACATTACTTCCCCCTCCAAGTGGCGCCGTCCACAGCGCCAAACCGTGGCTGGTCAAATACCGATTCACAGCAGTTGCGGCACGGTCAAGGTGGCTCTTTGGTTCCCATGAGTCGTCACTAGTGGGCTGGTCCTTCCAATGAACAAGAAACTCGCGACCATGAGGTGTGTCGCGATGTGCAGCG